ATTCTCTCTTTAAATCTGCTTCATTTTAATATTAAATAGATCCAGATTTTTAAACTACATATCTCAAGCAATTTAATGATTTTATATCATTAATATTTCCTTACTATTAACATGTAAAAAAAGAGATGTTAAGGTGCATCACTTCTAGGTATGTAAGCCTTAATATCTTGAATTAACATTATTTCTACTTAAAAAGTACCTTGAAAATTATAAAAATAAAGTCACATACTATGTCCTATAGAGGAAGGCTGATACAATCCTTTCTTGTTACACATAAATATCTAAAAATGTGGTTTCAATTTCTTTTTTTTCTTAAACCATGCTCATTTTCTTTCAAATTGCTTCCAAAAACAGAGGTCTTTCTGATGTTAATTGTGTATATACTTCGGCTTACACTTTAAAGAGTCTTCCTCTCCTGGGAAGTGACTTTTGTATACAAATCATGGAAAACTACTTAGACAAAGTGCTGGAGATGATTAAAAAGAGCCAGATTCAAATTTATACCTTAAAAAAAAGCAGAAGCAGATGTCAACTGACTCATTTGTGTATATTTTGGAAATGAGCTGAAGATATGCATGTGCATTTCATCAGGACATTGAAGGGATCCTAAACTTTTTACTATGGTTATATATCAGCGACAACTTTAGGAATTAAAAAACTTTAGGCCGGGCGCAGTGGCTCAAGCCTGTAATCCCAGCACTTTGGGAGGCTGAGGCGGGTGGACCACGAGGTCAAGAGATCGAGACCATCCTGGTCAACATGGTGTAACCCCATCTCTACTAAAAATACAAAAAATTAGCTGGGCGTGGTGGCGCGTGCCTGTAATCCCAGCTACTCAGGAGACTGAGGCAGGAGAATTGCCTGAACCCAGGAGGCGGAGGTTGCGGTGAGCCGAGATTGCGCCATTGCACTCCAGCCTGGGTAACAAGAGGGAAACTCCGTCTCAAAAAAAAAACTTTAAAACCTACACTGTGGCATTTTATGCTGCATACTCCTAGCTCTTACTATAATTTGATCTAACCAAGCACTTTTTAATCTAACCAAAAAGGTATTTGTTCATTTAGAAACAACACTAAGAATTTTTATTTTCTTGAGACAGAGTCTCTGTCGCCCAGACTAGAGTACAGTGGCATGATCACCGCTCACGGCAGCCTCGAACTCCTGGATTCAAGCAATCCTTCCTCCTCGGCCTCCCAAAATGCTAGGCGTAAGCCTCCATGACCAGCCAAAACTTTTATAATTGGAGGCACATGATATATAACTTATTATCTAGAATTAGTAAAGAAGAAATTAAAGTAGCATTTTATTTGTTTATTTACTATTTGAACAATAAAAAACTCCTCCAGAAACATACTAGAAAGAAAAAACATTTGCAAATTCTCTCTGATCTACCAAACCTTTACGGAAGCGCTTACTCTACACCATGCATCCAGCATCTTCCTAGGTCCTGGACACAGAAACGATGAGTACAGTACAGTCCTGACCACCAACAGGCACCTAGCTTACTGAGGAAGACTTTTCGGGAGTGATGCCTGGGTTCAAAACAAGGGTCTGAGGCTGGAGAGGGTGTGAGGGTAAGCAGGTGTGTCCTGCTGGAGCATGGTGTACCACTCTGTGACTGCGGGGATGTCAGGCAGAAGGACCCTTCCCTCTTAAAGGATATAACACCTTAGCAACACTTTGCTACAATGCCACTTTCTCTTGAAACAGGAAATCTGTTTCATATGGTAGATACATTCTAAAGGGACAAAAGAAATTAAGTGGGACATTTCTGCAGAAATCCCAGTCTACTTGGCTTGTTTCATCAGGAAGGGATGCAGCTTCTAGAATACTAGTGAGAACAGTGGCTAAAGCAATTAGTCATTACAGACTTTCCACAAGTCACCAACAAAAAGCCCTAATGACCCATATATTTCAATACATATGATTTCTGTAGCAAATTACTATGTGACCCTGGGTCACACTGACAGATTTTTAAAACAAATCCTTGTTGCTAGAGTTACTGTGAGACAATGTCACCCTCCAATTATGTAAACATGTCAAAGCATCCACCCAAGTGTTCAGTTATGGCATGAGTCAAATTGCATCTCTTCTCTGTGTGGTGAAGTATAGTTCATAAGCACTACCAAAAACAGCAAATCTACAAGAGTAGTATACAAGCTATCTGACAACCTAGCTGAGAGGGTTAAATCTTAAGGGTAATCAACAATCTCTCTGAATTAGAATGTTTAAGGGCTGTGTTTGCATTAAATCCACTTGCAGTGACAGAAAGCCCCCACCAGGTGGAGTTTCGAATTCTTGGTTTCTTGCACTCCCAACTATTTGTTTGTCCTGACTGATTATGAGGACTTGCCTATAAATTCACACAAATTTAATAATGCAGCCGTTTTCATTCTTTTCAAAAGCACGTAATATGAAGAAAAGAAATTCAACCATTTAACTTTTTTTTTTAATTAGTTCACTCAAGAAAAACCAGAGAAGGTCATGAAAAATCACTGATTAAGTGAGACTGAGACAAAAACCTCCAGGAGCCCAGATGCCACAGTACGAACTTTGAGGATCACTATACCTTCAGAAGGTCTCCCTAATTTTCTTTTTCCAAATCACCACCAACACATTCATTTGAGGGAGAAAGGGTCAAATCATGAACTTTTAAACTGGGTAAGACTATACACAGTGATCTACCTGACTTCAGATATTCACAACCGCCTAGGTGACCACAGTCTGCAGGTGAGGTGCTATCTTAGAGGAATACGCTTTCCCAGTAATCACGTGATCTCCTATTCAGAAGGTGCTTCCCTTGGGTCATAAAAATAGTGTTGAGAAAAGCGCAGGTTCTAGCCACAGCCTCCTAGCACAGGCCCAGACACGATGGGGAACTTGTGAAAGGGGATAATTCTCAGTTTACAAAGCAAGAGTGAAGCTCCCAGCTGAGCTGCAGGATAAGAGCTGGGGCTGCCTGAAGGGGTAGAATCTGGATCTGGCCATTAGCCATTCCCTACCCAACGTCAGCCTCCACAAGTTGTCCTCTGGTCCCTGGCACAAGGCAGACTCAGCAAATCTAGGAAGGGAATTCTGCCCCAATGTTCCCACCCGCCCCACCTCCCCAAGTTTAACATGTGACCCAATCCATGGGACCCGCCCCCACCCAATCGCACACTCCCTTGCTGGCCTATTCACAGTTAGTAGCTCTCAATTCTCGTGTCACTCCAATCCTTAAAGAGTAAGTTTTAGGCACTGAACATTGACTGCTGGTATGGCAGATGCATTCTAAAGTGAACCCCTCCCCACCATGATTCATGCTCATATAATTCCCTCCCATTAAGTGCAAGCAGAACCTCTAACTTGCTTCTAAGCCACAGACTGTGGCAAAGGTAATGGGAGGCTATTCCCTTAACTAATCAAACTAATCAGATCACATTTCCAGGCCACTAAATACGTAGTGATCTGTTATGCAGCAACAGAAAACATACAGCTGGCGAAAGGAGTTTATTCCCTGATCCACTGCACACACCTCTGTTAGACCTCAACTCTTCCACCCCATTCCTGTCCTGAGGAAAATCACAATTAACAGCATCTTATGCATTCTTTTTGATAACGCACACATAACTAAGCAAACATATTCCCATATAAAGATATATATTTTGGCCAGGCACGGTGGCTCACGCTGTAATCTCAGCACTTTAGGAGGCCGAGGCAGGTGGATCACAAGGTCTAGAGACTGACAACATCTTAGCTAACATAGTGAAACCCCGTCTCTACTAAAAATACAAAAATTGGCTGGGCGTGGTGGTGCGTGTCTGTAGTACCAGCTACTCAGGAGGCTGAGGCAGGAGAATCGCTTGAACCCAGGATGCGAAGGTTGCAGTGAGTGGAGATCACACCACTGAATTCTGGCCTAGCGACAGAGTGAGACTCCCTTCCCAACATATATATTTATATTTGTATATATATTTTTTGCTCCCTTTTGCGATAACAAATGGAAGCATATTATCCATACTTCTTTTCCTCCCTCCAGATTATCCTGACAAGGATTCACCATCAGTACAAACAGCTCACGCCCTTTTAATGACTGCACTGAACTTTATCCTATGAGTGCACCAGAATGTTTTTACTCAGTTCCCAATTGATAAAGAAACACTTAGACTTCTAATCTGAGGTTTATACACCTGCCACTTCACAGTGGGTAGAGTCAATTGCTAGAAGCAGACTTTTGCTGGGTCAACAGGCTATGTACACTTGTAATCCTGTAACGTACACAGTTCTACCAACTGATACTCCCACAGGCAACGTATGGGAGTGCCTGTTTCCTCAGCCCTTGCCAACCCAGGTGTTATCAAAAGGACATCAAATTGATTTTGCATTCCAGTACAAACTCTTGGCTCACAGTGTCTAGTTTCATCATTATCCTCAAGCTCATCAGGTTCATCTGACCAATATTTATGAGGGGCCCACTCTGTGAAAAGGGAACAGGTTGCTAAAGAAAGATAACAAAACACACCAATGAAATGAGCAAAAGCTTCTGAAATTCAGCAGAGAAGACTGCTTCCGACCTGAGCGAAATCTCCCTGGAGGAGGTGAGCTCCGACCTATCTAGATCCTGAACAACCTGTCGACTTCAGACAGAGAGAAAGGAGTCCCATGAGAACAAGCAGCGCATCGGGATGGGAAAGCACAGGACATGGTCCGTGGCAGAGCAGGGCGGGGAGACAAAGAGAATGCTCAGGTGGCAGCCCGAAGAGTGGCTGCCCCAGCAAGGCCTGAGCTAGAAGAATCAGTCAGCAAATAGAACGCTGATCTGAGAGTTGGGATTTCCACTTTTGGCATTAGCTAAGCGATCATGAGAAATACTAGCTTATCTGGGCTTCAGGAGGTTAGCCCTGAAACCAAACTTTCTGTAGCTGCAGAACTGTGCGTTCAAAGTAAATCTTAGTCAAGAGTAATGACAGGCAAGCACAACTGCACTGGCAGAGGGGAACAGGAGGAACTCAGCACTCTTGACTGCTATGACAAATTACCATTCTAGAATGTAAACGTGCTCTTCCCTTTCTCAACACTGTAGACTAGAATATTCGAGTGACAAAATTACCTAAAGGGAAGAATGAAATGAACAAACGAACTTCACAGAAAACCAAATTGGATCTGGTAAGAAGCAGTGACCACCAGGTGGTCCAGGTGTTTGGGATGGAAACTAATCCTAAAACATTAACTAGTTAGGCCAAAACAATGGGGTGGAACTTGAAGGGATAAAGTGTAGGGGCAGCTGTCAATGCCTGGGAAAATGGACAGGCAAGGATGTGCAGAAGAAAAAAGCAGACCCAGGGTCCCTGCGCCACTAGATCTTATAATCACCTCCTCTCTGAAATGGGGGTCTGGTCCTCCCCGCACCAATCTTAGCAGCACAATGCTCTGCTCTAGGCTTAAAATATGTCAACGGCACCTTTGCCACCAAAAAGCTCCTTTCCCTTTCTTTTTGTAACTGAGAAATGTGCATAATGGAATTATTTTTTTTTATGTCAAAGGGTCTGATAATCCTTATATATCAGTTCTTTATCCCCAACTAAGAGAGCACATTAGACAAAAAGCTACTGACGCAAAGGTTCACAGCAGCACTAGTCACAACAGCCAAGAGGTAGAAGAAACCAAATGTCCATCAACAGATGAATGCATGAACCAAATGCGGTCTATCCATACACTGGAATACTATTCAGCCACAGTTAGGAATGAAGTACCGACACACACTACGAAGGTGAATCTGGTAATCAAATGCAGAGCATAAGAAAGAAGCCACAGGAGACCATGCATTGCAGGATTCTATTTCTATGAAATACGCAGAACAGGCAAATCTCAAGAGAGAGAAAACAGGTTAGCAGCTGCCAAAGGTTAGGGGGAAGGAGAATCAGGGAGTGACTGTTCGTGAGTACAGGGTGTCCCTTTGGGGTGACAAAAATGTTTTGCAGCTAGACAGTGGTGATGGTTGCAGGACACTGTGAATGTACTAAATGCCACTGAACTGTACATTTAAAAATGGCTAAAAGAGTACACTTTAGGTTATATGTATTTTATCCCAGTAAAAAACAGTTCCCGCAAATCCAATAAACTTCAAAATAAAGTTATATCTCACTAATCTCTAAAACGTAACTTGGGAAATGGGAGCTAAGAACATCAAAAAACCATGCGTACACAGGTTGTGGTTAGTCCCCAAACAACATGTGGTATAAACACAGACTCTCAGGCCTCTTGTACAGCTGGAGCTGATAATAATGACAATCACTGCTAGCATTTACTGAACTACGCACTGGCTCTGTGAAACGACTGGGCTCTGTGTTACTACCCAAATCTCATCTCAAACTGTAACTACCACATGTCAAGGGAGTGACCTGTAATCCCCACATATTGAGGGAGGAGGTGATTGGATCGTGGGAGCAGTTTCCCCCACGCTGTCCTGGTGACAGTGAGTGAGTTCTCCCAAGTTCTGTTTAAAAGTTCCTCCTCCTCCCTCCTCCTCTCTCCTGCCGCCAGGTAGGCCATGTCACCTGCTTCCCCTTCCACCGTGATTCTAAGTGTCCCCAGGCCTCCCCAGCCATGCAGAACTGTGAGTGAATTAAACCTCTTTCCATTGTAAATTACCCAGTCTTGGGTAGTATCTTTACGGCAGTGTGAAAACAGACTAATACACTCTAAGTACTCACATATAATCCTGTAAGATACTTACTCTCATTTTACACAAGAGAGTACAGGCAAAGAGAAGCTAACCAACCCGTCCAAGATTAAAGAGCCAGCAGGTGGCAGAGCCTCAGCATGGAAATCTGAAGCCCACCTAGTTTCAGAATTATGTTCTTAGTCACAGATCCATGCCTCGCAACACAGACCCTCCTGATCTGGGCCCAATCCAGTCTTTCACTAACTATCCACCCCACACATCACCACTCCACACAGAGAACTATCTTCTCAGCCTTTGCATGTGCGGTGCCTTCTACCTGGAGCTCCTATCTCAAGTGCTGCTGCCATGCATCCAGTGCCTCCTCTCCTCTCTGAAGTCTGTGCTGAGGTGGAGGGGATGGGAACCAGGGCCTCCAAGGTTCTTGTGCAATCTGCCCTTACACTGTTCTTTCCACCAGCATTCATGCCTGTAAACACTGCCCATTTTCGCCTGAGGACAGGAACAAAGAATTTTTATGCCTCCAGCAAAACCAAAGGTGCTTGTACTCTGCTGGTGAACGATGTGGAAGGCAAACCTATGAACCATAAGACTGAGTCAGTCGAGCCATTTTGTTTGGTCCTCACCGCATTTTCCAACACCAACAACATAATGGGAACGCCTTCCCCAGGGCGCCCAGTCCTGGTGTGGCATACTGCTGCTTGATATTTTTGTGACGGGCAGCTCCAGGCTCGTAAGCCATCCTGACCTAGCCATTAACGGACTCACTCATTACTCCCAATTACTTCTCTTCCCATCATTCTTGCACATATGGTAAGTCTCAGCCATAAATGATACCAAGAGAAATAAAAGAGCATAACAGATACATAATTTCATTTCTATAGATTAAAAAGAAAAAACTCCCTATATAATGTCAAAGGTGGAAATATCCCTAAAATTGAAACAACTTCAAATCATGGCAAAACTAAAATTTAAGACCTTCTAGAACAAAAGTCCCTTATCAGTGCCCACACCTCTCAGCAGGAAGGGGGCCAGAGCAGAGTTGGCCCAGCCTGGCACAGGGTCACTGCTGGCACTCTCAACCCCAGCAACTTCTGAGAAAAGGTCAGGGACCTTTGTTTAGGCAAGTTTACCTTTAAATTTCAACACCAAACCAGACATTTTCTGTTTGACTTATTTCTGTTCAGCTTACAACACTGCCCAAGTTCAGGGAATAAGCACCAGAAATAGAAAGAGAAGGAGATCCTACTGAACACACTGTGCTTGACCATGACAAAACAAAGGGTGCCACTCTTAACCCAAAGCTTTAGCTCTCTAGATTAGAGGAAGAGGACCAGTGGCTGTATTTCCATGTGCCCTGTAAAACCAAAGCAGCACTTAGCACACCTAAAATAAGAACCACATTAATATTCACAAACGTAGGCGAGATAAGATGGGGATCTTGTTTTTGTTTTTTTGAGATAGGGTCTTGCTCTGTCACCCTGGGTAGTGTGCAGTGCTGTGATCGTGGCTCACTGCAGCCTCAAACTTCTGGACTCAAGCAATCCTCCCATCTCAGCCTCCCCAAGTAGCTGGAATTACAGACACGTGCCACCACACCCAACTAATTTTTGTTTTTTTTAAGAGACAAAGTCTCAATATGTTGCCTAGGTTGGTCTCAAGCAATCCTCCCTCCTTGGCCTTCCTAAGTGTTGGGATTACAAGTGGAAGCCACTGTACCCTGCCTAAGACAAAAGTATTAATTTGGCATGAGGAGTTCAGTGTCTTTACTTATGGAAAAAAATTTTTTTTATTAAGTCAAAAGCCAGGATTAGAAATATTTACATCTAACAGCATTCAAAATAGAAAGCTAAACGACTGTAAAATTAAAATAGTCTACACCTACTTCTAGAATCTAAAAGAAAATTTTTAAAAAGACACTACACCAACTATTTCCACAAATAACAACTGTAACTGGTTACTAAATACCTGTATGCAACTGAAATTTTTGCTTTCTGAATCACACTTGAAAAGTAAAAGGAATCTATATCATTTAAAGAAGCTCAAGGGAGAATTCTTTTGTAAACCATGTGTTTTGTTTTGTTTTTCAATGAAAACAACCTATACTTCCCAGGTATGTTGCGACTTCTTAAAGGGATCGCTTGTACAAAGGCAAACTCCACACAGAAAACAAACTGCCTCTGTCTTCTCTGGCCTCTTTGCTGCACACACCTACTGGACTACACTCCAGACTCATTTGGCACAGAAATGTAGGCTGTACAGTAAAGAAAGGAAATAATTTCTTTAACTTAATCCCAAATGTAATGGTAGAAAATAATTTTTAACTGTAAGAGAAAACTGGTTAAATGTCACTGAGTAATACTTACTGCGGGTTCAACTTCACTTCTATCTGCAATATCTATATGGACAATTTCAACAGTTTTCCATGTGTTTGGATCTAAACCGTGTACCTACCAATGACAAAGAGGAAAGAAACAAAACAAACCGTAGATTATTCCATCACGCTTAGATCTACAGTCTTTATCTGAGTCTCTCAGGGTACATTATAAGGAATTAAAAGACCCAAATTATTATTTCATTATATTAGCTGTCGGATATTTTGCAGGATCTAGAAATCTTCTGTTAGCACTGTAACAAATAATAAGGGAGAACAGAATGAGGACGCTGGCAAATAAATAGAAACCTCTCAATATTATCTTCTGAGAGTCCTCACAAATGATTTATGAAACAAAATATGCCAGCCCTATGTTCAACCCAAATGATACACAACCAAGTCCTCGTAACCAACCAAGTCCTATACAAATATAAGGTGACATTACAAGTTAAATTCAAATGATGTACTACATGGTCTAAAATCTCTCCAAATTTTGATTATCCTAAAGCTGCTCAGTTTCAGTACGATGCCAACTCCTCTATACGGCATATTGATCAATCATTTATTTCTGAAAAGCCATCTATGAACCAATTAGGAATTGTTTGAAAACTGCCAACGATCTGCCCATTTAAAAGCTGAAAATACCAGATTAAGTCATATATATTAAAGCACACCAAATAAACTCATCTAGATTCTACATTTTACAGGGTTACTAGGAAAAACAACATAAAGGCCGGGTGCAGTGGCTCACACCCGTAATCCCAGCACTTTGGGAGGCTGAGGCAGGCAGATCACCTGAGGTCAGGAGTTGGAGACCAGCCTGGCCGACATGGTGAAACTCTGTCTTTAATGAAAATACAAAAGTTAGCCAGGCATGGTGGTGCACGCCTGCAGTCCCAGCTACTTGGAGGCTGAGGCAGGAGAATCGCTTGAACTCAGGAGGCAGAGGTTGCAGTGAGCAGAGAACGCGCGACTGCACCCCAGCCTGGGCAACAAAGTGAGATTGGGAAAAAAAAAAAGGAAAACAACATAAAATGTCAAATGGTCACTTGAAAGAACAGTCAAATACTACAGATCAAAATTCAAAGTTCCATTAATTGGTATCAATAACATAAGAGCACAGTAATAAAACAGTAAAAACAGAATTTGCCACAATTATTAACTTAGTCTCCTATAATAACGTATCATCAGGTTGGAACAGATCTCTACTGGAATGAATGCACACCAGAAAACAGAAACTGCTGAGTCCCATTCCTAGAGATTCTGGTCTGGTAGTTCTTAGGTGAGTCAGGTTATCTGCATTTCAAGCCAGTCCCCAGATACTGTGCTGCTGTTGGCCCATTCAAAGACCACATTTTTGAGAACTGCTGGACCAAGGGCATCAACCTATACAAGAGGCCTTACCAATAGTTAATGATTACATTTCTTTGAGTCCTGACTCAAAGATGTTCTTGAATCTTAGCGATAAATGTGCACCAACTTACATAAGTCAAGAGCTTTTCAACATTTGTGTAATTATTCACACTACTTTATACCTCCTGCCTTTTGGTCACTTCTCTGACATCAGCCCATAATCTAGCAAAGCAGACAGGAGGTAAAAATTAAAGCAATCAATCCTGCTATGCAGAGCAGCTCCGGCAAACACTCAGAGATGAAAGCAATCTAATTAGCAAAACTAATGGCTAAAACTGGGCTGGGGTTTATTTGTGAATTTTACCCATGCTCTCTTTGTCTCAGATAAAGAGAGCTGCTGATCAAAACAGCAACCTCACCCAAGTGTTGAGGAAGGGACTGATAGGGAAAGGTCATTTGGTTTCTGGCTGCTTGCCTGCCTCACTCAATTTGACACAGCTTGGTGTGGTCAGATACTAGTCTTACACAGGTGACATTACTTTGGTGATGACAAAGGGAACAACATACAGGATTCTCATTTCCAGGGACTTCTGTACTAAAAGTGCAGAGTTGAAACTTACATTTTCTAATGTTCCCAAGTCTGGCTTGTGCCATGTTTCGATTTTAATGAAGAAATCATCTTTCATATATTCATTCTGCAGAAAAACACAAAAGGAAAATGACAGTGATCTTCTACCTGGTTCCTTGGTGCCACATCTGAGGGAGCTTTTCCCACTATGGGCATCCAGGCTTTGACTCTACACGGAGACTGATCCTCAAGTGACAAAGAATCATTAGCTATCTATTTTTGGAGACTTGTCAGGCAAACCAAATGCTGCATGCTTTTAAATAATTCTAACAATCCTACTTCACGCAGCATATTGGGCTAATGAAGCTGTGAGGTCCAGTAAGCAAACATGGCATTTGAAAGGAGTAAGAAAAGCAAAATAACATCAATAGGGAGATTTTGAGACAAGGGCAAAAAGAGCCCATGAACACTGGGAACATGCGTTACAGTGTGGGGGCCAGTGGAGGGGACACAGGGGGGAACCATGCAGGGGTGGGCAGTTAGCAAAGAATGGTTGAAAATAATTACTGTGTAAACAAAGTTTAAAGATGAAAGTAAGACACACAAAAATAGTTTTACTCACCGTTACAACTGAGGCACAGTGGAGAGGCAGGTAATAAAAGGAGAACATTTTCAGAATATTAATTGGAGTCAAAACAATCTGTTCCAATACTTAATGTCACAAAGACTAAACTATCTGAAAACACAACATTTATTTAGTAGCTATGTTTGCAAAACATAGTTTCTACACAAGTGACACTATATGGTACATTAATTTAGATTATGGAGTACAAATAAAATATGAATAATCTAATTTTTTAAATAATGCTAAAAAGAATAATGTCACACAAACAAAACATTATTTATAAGATGAATTTAGCAAATGATAGGATGCTGTTTCAGAAGTCTGTCCTATTCCTCCTCTATTACGTAGCAACGTAAGTCAAAATACTATTGAAATGCACAAAAAGACACTTCTGAGTGTGAATGACCTTCTTTTGGCTTACTCCTGGAGCCAGCATAGTCAGCAAGGACCCCAATGTGGCTGCCATGTGGGCATGAACTTATGCCTGCCAAAAAGTTCTGCGGGGAAGAACCCAATGCAGTCCTTCGTCTGCCATCATTTTGGCAGTGACTGTCCAAAAATTCATGGAAGACCTTGCTCAGTGTAACCCTTCTCAAAGACACTAGTACTGAGAGTCCCTTCTGCTCATCCTCAGGGTGGAGGGGTGAAATGGCTGCTGGGGGCCAGGCTTACTTGTTCTACAGTAGGGGTATGCATTCCAGGCTTTCTCATGAAACACCAAGGAGCCCTCAGGAGCAATCATCCTCACAAATGCAGGAACTTTGCTGGGAGAAGAGAGATACTGGATATATTTAACAGCACCATCAATTCTTTCTTCGTATCTATCAAACTGCTTGAAAGAGTACAGCAATCAAAGGCGATCATGTTCTAAGTTTGATAAACTAGTTTATTTCAATCCCAAAGTAATCCAGTAGAAACGAATATATAATCTTTTAAATTTGAAATAAAAATGATTAAGAATATTTAGCTGGGTATGGTGGCTTATGCCTGTAATCCTAGCATTTTGAGAGGCTGAGGCAGGAGGATAGCTTGAGCCCAGGAGTTTCAGACTAGCCTGGGGAACATAGTGAAACCCTGTCTTTACAAAAAATACAAAATTAGCCAGGCGTGGTGGCACATGCCTATATCCCCGGCTATTCAGGAGGCTGAGGTGGGGAGGATTGCTCGAGCCTGGGAAAGGGAGGTTGCAGTGAGCTGAGATCACACCACTGCACTCCAGCCTGGGTGACAGAGCAAGACCTTGTCTCACAAGGAAAAAACAAAGTAATCATATAGAAGGTTTTTATTTTATGTTTTTATAGAAGCAATTCTTTCTTAAGGACTTCTAACCTACTATCCCAATGTGAACCCTAAGAGTTAACGATTACTCATCCTGCACATTAATACAACATAGTTCTCTTAGTTAGATGACATTACACTGTTTCTAATGCAAAAAGCCCTAGAGTAAGGAGATACCGCTGAATAAAAGTCTCTTAATACATTTTACAGAACAGACCTGAAGAAAAATGACAATGTGAAGGACCCATGTAGAACGTGAGAAATTAAAGCATATCCAAGTACAAAATTGTGTAGGTATGAGGAAGAGAAAGGTTAAATACGTGATTAATACATGAGAAGCTTGTGCAAGCATATGATAATCAGAAACAATTCCAACATATAAAGGGGCAAAAGTCTTCCACAGGCCCATTACAAATAGAAAATGTTACTCATTAACAAACAAATGGAAAAATCAGTCTTACCAGTCTTCAAATAAATGCAAATGGAGTGACTGACTTACTGACTGGAGCCCACTGTAAAGAGTAGTTTTGCTTGCACAGACTTTTCACAGATCAGATTCAAATCCCAGCACCACCACTTAGAAGCTGTGCGACCTCAGGCACATTACTTGGCTTCTCTGAAATTCCTCATGTGTTGAATGGAATTCATATTACCTGCTCTGCAGGTTATTTAGAGAATTAAATCAAATATTATAATGTCTTTAGCACACTGCACAGTACAATGAGCTCAAAAAATGGTAGTTACTGCTTTTTAATTACAAGCTGACACAGAGCGGGGTACTTTCACATGACTCTCTTCACTTAAATCTTCCAGTGATACGACGAAGTAAGCATTATATTTCATCATTTCATGTAACCAGCATTTTAGTGTCTAAATAAATACCCATACGTCAAAACCAGGTCCTCAAATTTCAAGCCCTATGTATATTTCTCAAATCACAGATGTTTCTGAGAACTTCAAGCACAACTTAATTTGCTCAACTAAGAGAAAGAATAAACTAAGGAAATGTGAGCTCCAGAGAGGACTTCTGACAATGTAATATGACTGCGCATTTGACCAGAGCTATTCTTATGTTGGATTTCGCAGCCTAAGCAAGACAGATGGTAAGGAGCCCATGCCACACAGAGCTAAGCAGCAAGAGAAGAGGTAGTGTGGACCACTCTGTCACTCATCCTGTCAGTCATCAGGCCAACAGTGCTTAACAATGGGAACACAGCTTGGAGGTTCCACTTTTCTGGCAAATTAAATCACTGGAAAAGAAAAGTAGATATACGGTAGTACTAGTGAGACTCCCAGAACATAAAGTGATTTACAAGTGCCTTCACATCCTTCTAAATGAAAGGGGCTAATTCTCTGATCACTGATTTCCTTTCAAATGGTGGAACGATTCATTCAAACTTCAGAAACATGAAGCCAGGATAACTGAAAATATCATCACCTTAAAAGTCAAAGCATATCTAGTGGTCCAAAAAATGTATCACATTGCTAAAGGACTAGAACCGAAATTCCTTTAAGTGTGGGTGAGGTCTAATCAGGGTACAACGGAACACATGAGGATAATTTTTTAAGCCAAGCTATAAGATTACCTATTCATCCAAAAGTATGGCAAACAGATCTATCAATGGTTTAGTTGGTCAACCTAGAAAAAGCACGAGAGGCGGGATGTGGTGGCTCACACCTGTAGTCCCACCACTTTGGGAGGCTGAGGTGGGTGGATCACCTGAGGTCAGGAGTTTGAGATCAGCCTAGCCAACATGGTGAAACCCTGTCTCTAGCAAAAATACAAAAAATTAGCCAGGCGCGTTGGTGCATGTCTGTAACTCCAGCTACTTGGGATGCTGAGGCAGGAGAATTGCTTGAACCTGGGAGACGGAAGTTGCAGTGAGCTGAGATTCTGCCACTGCACTACAGCCTGGGCAACAAAGCAAGACTCTGTCTCAAAAAAAAAAGAAAAGGCATGAGGAACAGTTCTGTATGAACTCAGACACATACTTTAACTATCCTATTTATTCCTACAGTGCCTGATATGTGAAGAACTTTAATATTCATAAATGTCCTAAAATTTGCTGACTCAAAATAGAAGGAAATTAGAATATCATTAAAGGCCAACATGAGCCAAATCTACATTAAAATTTTAATATTTCTTTATCTCACTCTGAATGCCTACCTTATTTCTAAGATACTTTTCCCACCATGTGAATTCCAACAATTCATTTTATGTTTTGACTGAGTTAATCAAGTTCAAACTTATAAGCTAGCTTTATTTCAAATTTACTGATTTTTTGTTTGAAAACATCAAATATATTTCTCCTCGATGAATCTAAGTAAATGACTAAGTATATATGGAGTAAATAAAATTAAATTTCAATTCCGCTTCAAAGCTAAGAAATGTTCATTAATGGCAACCTTAATATACCCCTAACATGGTAGTTCAGGTGTGCCGTTTACATAGAATTGAGAGCATATACGTCATTTTCCCACCACATTACCACTTAGTTAAGACCCGTTAGTAAAATGCAGTGGATTCCTGTTTTGGAAGCTTAGAGAGCTTCAGAAAAGGAAGAATTATTAACTGAATTAACAAAACGGATGTAGGCCTTCAAAAACAAACATGCAAAAAGAACAATCCTCCTCTTGTCCTCCCAAACTATTCACAAATGGTGCTCCCTCATGATAAACCAATATTCCTAACAGTGCTTACTTACCTCCAGTAAACATGGCTAGATTTCAGCCGCTTAGAGTAAGAGTTAAGAGTTATCCATAGCACAATGCCCAGGACCATGAAGACTCTTTAAGAATTCACATCCGTTCTCCCACTCGGAACAGTACTTTAAGAATATTTAACTTCCAGGTAAAATATGACCATAATGGACACTGAACGCCTGATCTAGGTGCATTCCTTTTTAAATCCTATTCCTGACATGGCAAATCATTTCCAACTGTACTTTTCCCTGGAAATTCTTATGTCTATCTGTAAGCCACACAAGCAAGATAACTTTCCCCCCTTCTCCTTCCTACTGCAGATGAAGATAAAGCACAGAAAAATACAAGGAAGAATTTGAAGATCACATTCATTTACCACAAATAAACCAATTAATCTTTCATTTTATGATCAACTGCAATATCCCTTAAATACACTGAGAAGCCTTCTCTTCACCCATCAGGAAAAGCTCAGTTGAGAAGACAAAAAAAGAAAGGGCCAGGTGCAGTGGCTCACGCCTGTAATCCCAGCACGTTGGAAGGCCAAGGTGGGCAGATCACCTGAAGTTGGGCATTCAAGACCAGCCTGGCCAACATGGTGAAACCCTGTCTCTACTGAAAATACAAAAATTAGCTGGGCATGGTGGCGGGTGCCTGTAATCCCAGCCACTTGGGAGGCTGAGGCAGGAGAATCACTTGACCCAGGGAGGCGGATGCTGCACTGAGACTGAGTCGAGATCATGCCACTGAACTTCAGTCTGAGGACAATGAGACTGTCTCAAAAAGAAAAATACACACACACACACACACACACACACACACGGTACCTCATTCATTCATCCACTCAAACATTTACTGTGTCCACTGTGCCAGGCCAGGGACTGTGTAAATAATGGTGAGCACACAGGGACAATTCCTACTCAGAGTTTATTTTTACGAATAGAGGCAGAAAATAGATTAGTAAACAATAAACACAAAGAGAATTATTTATCAAGCAGTGCGGTGAAATTAAAGAACAGGGTCCTGGGCAATGAATAAGTGCAGCAAGGGTAGTCAGGAAGGCCTCTCTGAGAAAATAAATTACAACAGTGATCCAAGGGTATGGAGGCAGGGAACAGAACAGGAGGCAGAGGGAACAGCATGACTACAGGTCCTAAGACAGCAAAAGACTTAACCTGCTTGAGCCACTCTTAGGCCTCCAGGATGAGTAGACTGCAGTGACCAAACATGGAGAGAGGGCAGAAAAACCACATGGGCCCCACCTTAGAGGTCACAGAGTTTAGATTTTATTCTTGGTGTGATGGGAAGCCAACGAAAGCTTTAAAAAAGTAATGGCACAACCTGACGAGCTGTGTGATCATTCTGGCTTTGTGTGAAAAATTAATTGAAGTGGGCGAGACTGGATGGTTGCAAAAATTAACTCGAAATGAATAAAGACCTAAATAAAAACTGAAACTATAAAATTCTTGTAAGAAAATAAATATGTAAATCTTTATGAGCTTGGATTGGGCAATGATTTCTATGATGACACCAAAAGCAAACACTACAAAAAGAAAAAATAAATTGGACTTCATCAAAATAATAAACTTTTTTTTTTTTTTTAAGAGACAGGGTCTTGCTCTGTCACTAGGCTTGAGAACAGTGGTGCCATAATAAATCACTGCCACCTCCAACTTCTGGGCTCAAGCAAACCTCCCACCTCAGTCTCCTGAGTAGTTACAACAGACATGCAGTATCGTGACGGGCTAATTTTTAATTTTTGGAGACGGGGTCTCAGTATGTTTTGCTCTATTGCCCAGGCTGGTCTTGAAATCCTGGCTTTAAGCAATCCTTCCACCTCAGCCTCTGAGGTAGCTAGGACTACAGGCATACACCAAAATTAAAAATTTTGTAAGCTTCAAAAGACACTATCAAGTAAGTGAAAACTCACAGAATGGGGGGAAAATCTGCAAATCACCTATATTATAGGAAACTAGTACCCAGAATACATAAATAACACAACTTAACAAAGAAAACTCAATTTAAGAATGGGGTGTGGTGACAGCTCATGGGTCTCTGAGACCCAAAAACTGAGAGTGTTTTCACACCCCAGGGGCTGCTCCTGCAGCTCTGCAGCCATCACCACCTCACAGAACTAATATATTGAATTACATTGTAAATGCTATGGATACCGTTTGGATTACCATGAGAAAAAGAGAAAGAAGGAAAGTCGAGCGGCTCGAAGACGTTCAAAGGGCCGGGTGCGGTGGCTCACGCCTATAAACCCAGCACTTTGGGAGGCCGAGGCGGGTGGATCACGAGGTCAAGAGATCGAGACCATCCTGGTCAACAAGGTGAAACCCCGTCTTTACTAAAAATACAAAAATTAGCTAGGCATGGTTGTGTGCGCCTGTAGTCCCAGCTACTCGGGAGGCTGAGGCAGGAGAATTGCTTGAACCCAGGAGGCGGAGGTTGCAGTGAGCCGAGATCCTGCCATTGCACTCCAGCCTGGGTAACAACAGTGAAACTCCGTCTCAAAAAAAAAAAAAAAAAAAGAGAAAACTTTCAAAGAAGGCAAAGAAAATGATTGATCCGAAGGCTGAGCTTTCCCATAAACAGGCCATGCTGAGAAATACAAATGAAAAAGACTATCAAGATGCATGAAAAGAGAAACCCCAAACAAAAGAATGATGAAAAGACTCCACAGGGAGAACTACCTGTCTATCTGGTGGACCGAGAGGGACAATCTCAGGCTGAAGTACTTCCCAATATGATTAGACAGGAACAAAAAGAGAAGGAGGGGAAATGGGAAGTCCCTCTGCCTAAAGTACATGCCCAGGGAGAAACAGAAGTCTTAAAAGTTACTCCAACAGGAAAGAGAAAGAAGAAGGCATGGAAGAGGATGGTTACTGAAGTCTGCTTTGTTGGAGATGGCTTTATAAGAAAACCACCGAAATATGAAAGATTCATCATGCCAATGGGCTTGCATTTCAAGAAAGCCCATGTAACACATCTTGAACTGAAAGCCACCTTTTGTATACCAATACCTGGTATAAAGAAGAATCCCTCAGTCCTGCTGTATACAACTGTCGGTGTTACTACCAAAGGTACTATCATTGGGTAATATGAGCAAATTGGACCTTGTGACTCAAGGAGGCAAAGTTATTTGGGGAAAATATGCTCCAGTTAGCAACAATGCTGAAAATGATGTATGCATAAATGCAGTCTTACTGGTTTGACAGCAATTTCATATACAATTATTGAGGACTACACACCAATTGAAAAAAAAACTGCCATTATTGTAACATTTCTGAATACTACCAGTCATACATGTTTGCAATCATTAAAAGATTTATTAAATTGTAAACATTAAAATAGAAAAAAAAAAAAGAATGGGCAGCCAGGACCAAGGACAGTGGGTCACACCTGTAATCCCAGCACTATGGGAGGCTGAGGCAGGAGGATAGCTTAAGCACCAGGAGTTGGAGACCAGCCTGGGCAACACAGGGAGACCCCCATCTCTACCAAAAAAAAAAAAAAAATTAACAGAGCACACAATGGTGCACACCTGTGGTCCCAGGTACTTGAGACACTGAGGTGGGGGAACTGCTTGAGCCCAGGAGTTCAAGGCTGCAATGAGATAAGCAACTGAAGTCCAGCCTAGATGACAAAGTGAGACCCTGTCTCCAAAAAAAAAAAATTTTTTTTTAAAGTGGAGGTAGAAGATTTGAACAGATATTTCTTCACAGAAGATATACAAATAACCAAAAAGCACTTGAAAAGATGTTAACATCATTAATCACCAGGAAAATGCAAATCAAAACCACAATGAGATACCATTTCACACACACGAGAATGGTTATAATAAAAACGGTAATGAGGATGTGGAGAAACTGGAACCTTCATGCACTGCTGGTAACATTATAAAGTGTGCAGTTGTTTTGGGAAGCAGACTGACTGTTCCTCAAAGGTTAAATATAGAGTGGTCATATGACCTGGCCAATTTCACTCAGGGCAATATGTATCTCCAAGAGAACTGAAAAGGCATTCCTAAGTTCTACTACTACATACAGAACATTATACACAAATGTTCACAGCAGCATTACTCATAACAGCCGAAAGTGGAAACAACCTAAATGATCAACAACTGATGAACGGATGAACGAAATGTGGCAGGTCTATACAATGGAACGGTACTAGCCATCAAAATAGTACTGATACATGCTTTAACACAGACAAGCCTTGAAAACACACCAAGTGAAGTCAATCACGAAAGGCCACATATTATATGATTCCACTTACATAAAACGTCCACAGTACATCTACAGAGATAGAAAGTAGATCAGTGGTTGCCAGGCATTGGGAGGAGGGGGTAATAGTGATTACTAATGAACATGAGATTTCTTTTTGGATTGTTGCAAATGTTCTGAAATAAAGTAATAACAGCAGTTGCCCAACTCTGTAAATAGATTAAAAACCACTAAAGTGTATATTTTAAAGGAATGAATTTTATGGCATATAAATTATATCTCAATTAATTCTAAAGCCAGAAAATGAATGGACAGCAAAATATCAGCGTGGAGGCAAGTCTGAGAGAGAGAATGGTAACTTCAATTCACAGAAAAGAAAGAAAGGAAAAGAAAGATACAAAAGGGGGGAAATTACAGAAATGATTTAAAACCCCAGTTTGTGGGGAGGGAATAAAATAGCCAGACACAAACTGGCTAACTCCCAGGAGACAGGAGACTCTAAAGTCCTGGAGAATTATAAAAAACAAAGAGAGAAGTATTTTTCACCCAATAAAAGGGGAATAATAAATGAAAAATAACATACAGTATCAAGAGGAAACAATATATTTCAGAAAATACTTCTGAATATTTTTCTGAAATAGGATTACTCTTGATTTGGAAAACTTTGAATTGTGCAAAATTGACCAAACTATATACAATGAAATATAACATGTTGTGTCTAAGATGGCTAATTTTTGACTCAATAACGAATTATATTTGGCTGATATTATTTTTCTTTTTTTTTTTTGTTTGAGACTGAGTCTCACTCTTGTCACCCAGGCTGGAGTATAATGGCGCAATCTCGGCTCACTGCAACCTCCACCTCCTGGGTTCAAGTGATTCTAACTCAGCCTCCCATGCAGCTGGGATTATAGGCGCCTGCCACTGCACTCAGCTAAATTTTTTGTATTTTCAGTAGAGACGGGGGTCTCACCATGTCAGCCAAGATGGTTTCGAACTCCTGACCTGAAGTGATCCACCCACCTCAGCCTCCCAAAATGAGAGAAGTATGTACAATCAATCCTTTCATTTTTTGGATGATTTAAATTTCTCACTTTTAAACATAATTTAAGTTCCTGGCAAATGACTCCTTTTACGTATGAAAATGAACTCTTACCTTGGAACCACATGAAATTTTAAAATAATGATTTTTCAGTAAAAACCTCTGCTGTTCAGCCGGGCACGGTGGCTCACGCCTATAATCCCAGCATGTTGGGAGGCTGAGACAGGTGGATCACGAGGTCAAGAGATGGAGACCATCCTAGTCAACATGGTGAAACCCCGTCTCTACTAAAAATACAAACATTAGCTGGGCATGGTGGCACGTGCCTGTAGTCCCAGCTACTCGGGAGGCTGAGGCAGGAGGACTGCTTGAACCCAGGAGGTGGAGGTTGCGGTGAGCCGAGATCGCACCATTGCACTCCAGTCTGGGTAACAACAGTGAAACTCCGTCTCAAAAAAAAAAAAAAAAAAACCTCTGCTGTTTCAACCTTTAGGAAACAAGGCAGTTCTGGAGTTGGCAAAGCTTTAGAAATTCCCCATCAATCAGGACTTCCTGAAGATGGCGAAAGTATAACACACAAAATAAGAAAGAATAAAGCTGACTTTCCCCAAGAAGGGAGAGCAAATAAACTAGCAAAAAAGACTGGTGTGTTCATACAGTGAGGTCTCGGGAGAGCTACCAGTTTTTCTCTGAAATACCATTTGAGAGTTAACAACACATTTCTTTGTTTTGCTCCAAAATGCTCTGCCCAGTAAATTCCCTCTTCTCTCACTACCATCTACTACTAAGTGAATTTAAAGAAACAAACTTCAGTGGACAATGGGATACAATGAGACAAACATGCATCTATGGAAATATATGACTAGGTGTCAAAATGCGTAGAACTGATAAAAAATGATGGGTTTAGGGAAAAGGGATCAAAATGAATAAAATTGGCCACGGAATGCGTCTGCACAGGATAGTTCTGAGGTGTACTCAGAAAACCAAGCAGGTTACGAGAGGCCCAACATAAGGGGCTGAAAAAGAGGCTCAGGGTGGGCTGAACAGTTTATGTTAGGACCACAACAAAGAGACTGGCTTTCTTAGAGCCAAGGTTTTTGTTCTGAATGGACTTAGACAATTTGGAATCTTAAATACCTTCCTAAGTTTAGCTTTGTTTTGGAAAAAGACTTTAGATGTTAAAGACTTCAGAGAAAATAAGATATGGTGACATCTGTGGTTTTGGAAGTATTTTTCTGTAAACTCCCATGGAGTTAACTTCAGGAAATGGAAAATACTCTGACCCTCCTACAGGACTCAGACATAGAACAAAGTGGTTAAGACGGGAGGTTCTGGCGTTGGTCTGTGTTCAAGTTCTATCTCTGCTACCAAATAGCAGTGAGACATGGGCCAAGTTACTTAAACCTTTCTGGACCTCAGTTTCCTCACTATAAAAAGTTGCTGTAATCAGAAGAAAAAAAAGTTGCTGTGAGGAATGAATAAACTCCTACTAGAGCACTTCCAGTGACCCAGTGACCAGCACACAGTAAGAATACATAAATACTAGATCTTCCATTCAGAATTACCGTGGGCAACGACTCACTCTAAGTTATTAAACATAATATGGACAAATCTCATTACCTCATGAGATGATTTATTACCGGAGATTCAAGGAAACCCGACATTTCTAGTGTCCCGTGCAATGAGTCACCAACTTTTGGATTTTGTCAATATTCTCAAAGACTGTTTTTCGCCCTTCTGGTTGAAATTAAGTGTATACATGTTACCAAGAAAGGTTTTGCTGAAATGCGAAATCATACAAGTCAGGAAATCCAGAGACTTGAGTTATCCTGGGTAAAGTGGATGTCAGAATTTCAAGTATGTCAAACGTAAAATAAAGCCTTCATGGCCTAAGTCAGACTTGTAGTTCTACTGATGTTACATAGTGACAGTGCACAGCTTAGGATAATTTATGGAGCAAATGCTGAAAAAGAAACATATTACTAGACACAAATTTTACTTCCTCAGGGAGAGCTTTAAAACTAGCTACAGACTGTGAGTATATGCCTTCAGCATGCTGAGCTGATGCCCTAAAGAAAACATAAGTCTGATGGGGCTGCACCTTCAGGCTTGCCCTGGGATGGCAGTCTTTCCTGCAGGACAGTGAAGGCTTCAGCACTTACTGCTAAATATAGTTATCCTGTGGCTAACATGCTTTCAATGTTGACAGACAGATTTGTCAGTATGGACATCTGACTGCCCTTGCCCCATAGCCATTCCCTCCTCCAGAGACCAACTGGGTTTTGCCCAGTTTATTTATTATTGGATAGATTTTTGTTCCTCACTATAGTCAGAACAACCATTAATTGCCACGATGTCTAAGACTCATTATTGCCACCCTCTTTCCTTTTTCCCTTTCCTGTCTCATTCCTCTCTGTGCTTCTCCCAACAGCTGCCATCGTTGTGTGATAAGGCCAACCTTCTATGGGCATGAAATAACCCCCGCCATCCCATCAGATCCCCTCTCCCTCTTCTCATGTGAGTGCCTCGTACTCATCAGGCACCTGGAACAAAAGGGTGTGGGATTTGAAATCAGAATCTAGGTCTCTGTCACCATTCTGCCACTAACTAGCTGTGACCTTGGGTAAAAATATGCCTTAGTCAGGAGAATTGCCTGAACCCAGGAGGCAGAGGTTGCGGCGAGCCAAGATCGCGCCATTGCCCTCCAGCCTGGGTAACAAGAGCGAAACTCCGTCTCAAAAAAAAAAAAAAATGTGCCTTAGTGTCTTAGGGACAGTATGTACATTGTCTGTTTCTCAGGACTTCAATGAGAAGTAAATGAGTACATGATAGGGTAAAACCAGAGGGTACCCTGGAATGATTTCCATTCCTCCTAGGAATGGAGAAGCTGTTCTAGAAGCCCAAGTATGCTGGAAGATTGGCCGCCAGAGAGCCGAAATTTTCTTTTATTTAATCCATTAAAAGCCTGAGAGAATTTCTGAACCTCATGCCCAAATAACCTCTCCAGAATAAGGATATCCTTTGCACTAACCATTTTATATAGCCGTCTTCAACTTATGAGATTCCTTATTCATGGTTGGAGTGTTATCTAAATCAACTGCTTAAAAAATAATATTTAACATTCCTTTTCCTTCTCATAAAAATGAAAATCTAGAAGAGAAAAAATTTTTTTAATCACCCATATCCCGTTACCAGGTGATAAATATTTTTAACATCTCAATGTACCTCTTTAAGGCTTTTTTTTCTGATTCTTTTCATAAAACATGTAACATATTATGTATTACATATTATTTCACAACTGTTCTTTTCCATGCAAGAATGTATCAAATACTTCCCTTAACACTCCAACTCTTAGATTTCAACCAGAGGACATTTTGAATCTATTTCAAATTTATTTACTTAAAGGATAGTGATCTAAAGAGGACATCAGAAGCCAACACAAAATTTTATACATAAAACTTTTTGGCTTATTTTAGAACCCCCAGGAAGAGTCCAGGTATTTATAAAAGGAACTTTTATATGTGGTGGGATAATTCAATTAACAGGCAAATGCAAAAATGTTAAAGAAATGTTCAGAAAGCTGAATACTTACAAGCAAATTCAAAACTTTAAATATTATACAGACCATATCATTTGGAATGCCAAAATCTTCTCTCAATTGAGACATATTTTCAGATGTACTTAGAGTTCTAACAAATTAATAGAAACTGTGAAATGAAAAAGACCTTTTCTATGGATAATTGATCAGTTATTGCCTTATTTCTCAAGTCAAACCTGCAACAGAAGCAAACAAATGTTGTATTCTAAGAGAAAATAATAATAAAATATAAGGTACTATAAAGTGAGAAGGCTATTCGTCACTATAAACCAAGGATGAGCATGTAATATGTCACTATAAAGCAAGCAGCAGAGTTAAACTGAGGAAGCATAAAAGAATACCGATCATGACAGCTACAGCTTTAAGGAGTTCCACAAAACATGAGTCTGATTCATTTCAACATGAAGAGAATAGAGGCAAGAGAAAAGATCCCCTACCTTTAATTAACTAGGGAGACTAATGACAAAATGGACTCTTAAAAGCCATTACTGGTCTTTTGCTCTTAGATAAATACTAGTACCCCTCCCCCCTTTTTTTCCTTTTTTTGGCTTGGTTTTTCTTTTTGTAGAGATGAGGTCTCACTATATTGCCCAGACTGGTCTCAAACTCCTGAGCTCAAACAATCCTCCCACCTCGGCCTTCCAAAGTTCTGGGATTACAGGGATTACAGGCAAGAGCCACTGCACTCGGCCAGCATTTTTTGTTTTAAAATATTTATGCCAAAGATACAGATTACACTGCCAAACTTAGGGGAATGTGCAAAAAAAACTTCCAACAAACCAAAGAGAAAAAAAAAGAAAGGATATGAAGAGTCAAAAGTCATATAAAAAATTCAAAGGATCAATTAACATAAAGACATTCAACCTCACTGATAAATACAAATTTTAACAAGAGACTTATTTTTTGTCTACAAAATCATAAAAATTAAAAAGAAAAATACGGAAAAATGAATACTATCAAACTCTTGAAGAGCAATTTTGGCAGTAATATCAAAATTTAAAATGTGCATGTCCTCCCAGCAATCCTTTTAGGAATTTCTCCTTTCATAATTTCTCTTAGGAACAAGTAAACTAAGGCATACAGACACACACGTATAAACTGTGTTCACAGAAAGTTTATTTATTTTTTTAGACAGTCTTGTTCTTTCGTGCAGGCTGAAGTGCAATAATGTGATCATAGCTCATTGCAGCCTCTAACTTCTGAGTTCAAGTGATCCTTCCACCTCAGCCTCCGAAGTAGCTGGGATCACGGGTACACATCATCATGCCTGGCTAATTTTTTTTTTTTTTTTTTTTTTTTTGTAGAGATGGGGTCTCCCTCTGTTGCCCAGGCTGGTCTTGAACTCTAAGGCTTAAGTGATCTTCCTGCCTTGGCCTCACAAAGTGTTGAGATTAATGTGAGCCACCACATTTGGCCAGAAACATTATTTATAACAGACAAAAACTAGAAAATATCTAAAATACTAAATGGACTTACAACATAGGTTAAGTAAACTATACTATGTCCATAAGAGATTTTACTCAGCTTCAAAATAAATCACAGATATTAAATAATAATAATATGGAAGATGTTTGTGAGAAATAAAGCAAATTGCAAAACCATACATATGGTCCATGTGCTGTAGAAAACTAAAATCGATACAAGTAATACATGGCTATTTGTTTTAAAAATTCCTTTGAATATATACAGAAAATGATCTAGAAGGATACACTCTAAACTGCTTCTAGTGTTTCTCACTGTGTTACAAATATCTGATAGCAAGAAGCGGGGACTAAGTTTTTATTTGAATTTTTGTTATAAGCAGATATAATACTTTTCTAATTTATAAATAACAAATAAAGGAGGAGGTTCTCTCAAAAAATTAAAGTGTAACATATCACACTGAAATTAAAAATGTACTTCACATCTACTAGTTAAGTTAGCTAGTTACATGCTTCATAAGTAAGCCAGGTAGTTAAAATCCATCAAACGTGAACACCACCTACCTCTTTAGGTGATAAATTTTGTGTGTATACTGTCCCTTTTCTCCATCCTTCTCGTAAGGTTCATTCTTCAAGACTTCTATTCCTTCCCCACCACCAGTCTCATTCTTACTGGCTTCTGCAACAGAGTAAAGCTGCCCAACCTGATACTGAAATTTCAAAGAACACAGAAACTCAGTAAGGCAGTAGGAACTGCAGAATTTGGTATGCTAAAATCTTAATATAAAAGATACAGAAAAGCATATCCAAACCATTTAGCACAACTGTATTCAACATGAAAACACAACTCAAATTACAAATTTATATGTTTAGGAAGACAAACAGCATATTATCATACAGTTTTAAAAAACTATATTTTATAGAACTTTCATTATTTAAAAAAATTGCCGGTTACAAATACTTTGGTGCCTTTACATTATCCATGGATCATGAAAATGTCTCAACACTTGTTTCAACTTTTGAACAATATATATTTGTACTTTCCAAAGCATTTTCGCCTCTATTATATCTCATTTAACCTCACAAAATTCCAAGAAAGGTATGGCAGAAATACAACTGGCACTTTGCCAACTAAAGCTGAGTAACCAGCACATTGTTCTTAATGATAAAGGGAAGGGATATAAGTTGTAATAACAAAAGCCTGGAGATCCAAAGAAACATAACAGACAGTCCCAATCTTAGTAGACTTCTGGGGTCATTTTTTCCTTATGACTTATTTGTGATGCACCCAATTTGGTCCTTCTTCACTAACCAGAAACAGTACTGGGAGCCCAGGATCAAAAATGTTCATTGTGAGTCCTCAAGTAAACAGAATAAACGGAAACTGTTTTGAAAGTAATATAAATAGACACATATTACTATAAACGGCAGGAAATTGCTGAGAGTAGTTTCTGTTTCATTTAATGTGAATCAGAAACCTCAGAGACCTGTATCAATACCTGTAAGTCCGCTGTATTTTCTATATCAATCTGGAGTCACTAGTTCCGAAGAATGTTGGAAAAAGTTCTTGTGTTCTAATTTGTTCCAGTGACCCAACCATGGCACTATCTGCCATCTCTTCAAATTTGGCTAAAATTGTTTCTTCTAATGAAAACAGCTTGAAGAAGTGTATTTCTTCTTGATAAGTATATTTCCGAAGAAAAGCTATAAAAATCTACCTCTAAGAACTTGTAATTTCAAAACTAACACTTTAGGTGAGGGACCAAAACAGCAGGTAGTTGTAATCTTAGTAAACATTCATATCTATAAATCACATGGAGATATGATGCTATTTTGCCCATTAATTAAATCTAAAAATACACCCACACGCACACTCTTACTCAATTTAGAAGCGTTTGGGAAGTTGAAACCAAACATATGTCTTAAATGCTCCAATTTCTGTAGGGCCTGCAGAGAGGACTGTATTTCTCCATTCAGCCTTCCATGACACAACACTAGGGTTAGTCTAATAATGCCACAATCCTTAAATACCTTCAGTATGTACTTTTAAACACTATCATATTCTAAAACGGGACTAAAATGAGTCTAAGTTAAAAGATAAATTTCATTTTGGTCAGGAACACACAGTAACGAAAATTGAAAAGAACTCTATCCAAAAAAATGCTAACGGACTGACATTTTGTGGCATGCTACTTAGGCTTTCTTTCATTCCCGTTTTTTAAGAATAAGAAAAAAAAAAGAGTAAGAAATAGACACAGAAGGCATGTTTTAAAAATGTGAGCTATGCCTGGCACAGTGGCTCATGCGTGTAATCCCAGGGCTTTGGGAGGCCGAGGCAGGCGGATCACCTGAGGTCAGGAGTTCAAGACCAACCTGACCAATATGGTGAAACCCCATCTCTTCTAAATATACAAAAATCAACCAGGTATGGTGGTGGGTGCCTGTAACCCAGCTACTCAGGAGGCTGAGGTAGGAAGAACTGCTTGAAGCCAGGAGGCAGAGGTTGCAGCAAGCTGAGATTGCGCCACTTCACTACAGCCTGGGCAACAAAGCAAGACTCCATCTCAAAAAAAAAGAGAAAAAAAGTGAGTATAACAGAAAGCCAAGAAGAGTATTTTCAGTGACAATACCAAGACTCGAAAATATTCTGACAAGCTAATTCAACCAGCTGAAACCAACAGAAAAAAATCTAACAGAAACAAATGTCAATTTCCACATTCAAGTTCAAACAATCAATTGTGCAAATAGAGAACAGGGGTGCCTGGCTTCTCTGGAGTGTTTTAATACAGTGAATCCTCCTGAGATATTCACAGCTGTGTTCACGTCTACATTAACCAGTGCCAGATAGCTACTCTCTTTCACTTCCTGCATTTCTGTCTGTCTTCTGTCAGCTGTCGCTTCTTAGGTTATCAGTTTGTTTTGTCCCACTTCCAAGTCACTGCTTCTAATCTACTGTCAGCTCTAGGAAAACCAGAAAACTGAGCAATGGGAACTGTGTGCACGTTACAGAAGAGCCTACAGGGTTTTATGGGTTTTGCTATACATATCTTGATTTCTCAGAAGCTATTTCTGCTCTTATCCTCATTCTTGGCTATACTACACATGGCTATGACTCCAGAACATGCAGGTTCTGTATCGTGTGTAGACTGAGGAAGACAAGAAGCTCTTACAGTCATATGCTGGTCATACCATGTCTGGAATATCGTTTGCAGCTCAGATCAACAATTACAACACATATAGTAATGGGACCAGCTGGTAAGGAAGTCTACAGATCATGCTCTATTAGGCCAAATGAATGTGCCAGGAATGTTTAACCTTGGGACTGTCTAAGATGAAATAAAAGGGCTTGTTGGGGAGGTGGTTGGCTGGAGGGGAGAGCTGCCATCAGAAAACCTGAAGGATTACCACTGCAAGACAGAACAGGTTTATTTCCCATTGCTCAAATGGGATAAACTGTCAACAAGAGCCAAGCACTATAGGAAAAGCAGATTTTGGGTCAAAGACAAATGTTTAAAATGCCCAACAGTAAAGTAGGCTGCTTCTCTAAGTAGCAAGTTACTTAACCTTAAACTACATAAGCTGAGGCTGGAGCCTCATTTCTTTGGGATGTTGTAGAAAGATTCCTGCACTAGACAGGAGGTTAAACTACATTCTTAGACTCTTCCAGAACAAGGCAGTGTAACAAGAAATTCATTTGCAATTCATTATCACAATTCATTTTGTCACATCAGGTGGAATGAAAAGGTAAATCAATACTATGAAAATATGAACTTAGAATAACATATCAAAGTACAGTACATATATCAACAAAATAATGCAGAAGCAAAAAAAAACTTACCTCCTGAACAGAACATGGCAAAACCACACGGCTAAAAAGACAAAAGAAAAAATATATGCATTACTTATGAAATAGCTTTAAACACAGATCTCTAAAGACATTTTACCCTAAATCCAATGATAAACAGAAACAGGTCTCTTAAATAAAAAAAATCAAAGGGTGTCATGGAAGAGGGTCTCTGCAATGCCTACACCCTAATTGGGGAACTAAAACTATCATTTCTGGATGTTCATTTGCATTTAGTGTTCCCAGGACCCCAAAGAGCAGCTGCGGAGATTCTTGAGAGTAAAGAAAAAAGAGAAAACTCAACATTGAAAACTGCAGGGTACAGAATGTAATATTTGTAGATGGTCAGGTCAGGTTGCCCTGACAACATTTTTAGTATGGTTTCACTCTCCACCTGTATACTGTGCATTTTGTTTTTATGATGGTTCTCACAGAATACTTCTTCAATCTCATGAATGAATGCTTCCAGAAACCGTTCTCTCACTATTCAGTTACTCCTCAAGTTTACTAAGAGAAAAATAAAGAGCCATGTAGAAATAACAAGAAAAACATTTTACTATGGAAACTACCTTGAACCTTAGACTAATTCCTTCTAGCATACAGACAATATGTGTTTGATCCTGTTCAGGAGTTTGTCATTGTATATACCAAAGAGATGTCATCATGGCTCCATTGCAAGCAGTCTTAAAGGCCAAAAACAATATCGTGGTATATTATTTTATCAAAATGTTGCATTTTATCTCTAGATTTGATAAGGAGATTCCTTACTTTCTTTCCACCACAAATTCTGAAAACCAAGACCATCCCTGTATATCAACTGTCTCATAATTATAGTTGGTGCCAAGACAGCAACTTCTTTTTTTGGAGTGGGGCATGTATGATCCTTCTCATATTTTCCTAATCTTACCCGCCACTTTATAGAAAACTTTCAATAGTTTTCCTCATTCTAATTTCTCTTCAGCTGTAGTTTTTTATTTTTTCTTACAGTAAGAGTCATTTAGCTTACTGCATTAGTGACAATCTTTTCAGTCTAGACATTCTTTGTTAATAGTCTTTCCTATACCTAAGCATGAAGAGAGTAATGCAACCCAGATTATATCCAGTTTGCCTTCCAGCTACACTTTCCACCTACTCCTTCCTCCCTACTCTCCTCAAACATGGCTGCCTAAATGTTCACATCACCTCAATCTCCAACATGTACAACACACGTCTGTTACTCCTTCCCTTTGACAACCAAATTACCACCACTCTTTGTCTTTCTGATAATGGTGATCCAAAAACAATGAACATTCTCAAAGCCACAGTGGTCACTAATTTCTACTCTCCATCAAGAATAAACTTCTTGCCAGCAGGGTGGCTCACCCTTGTAATTCCACCACTTTGGGAGGCTTAGGCGGGCGGATCACGAGGTCAGGGTGGGTTCAAGATCAGCCGGGCTAACACAGTGAAACCCCATCTCTACTAAAAATACAAAAATTAGCTGGGCGTGGCGGCACACACCTATAATCCCAGCTACTCTTGGAGACTGAGGCAGGAGAACCGCTTGAAGCCGGGAGGCGGAGCACCACTGTGCACCAGCCTGGGCGACAGAGTAAGACTCTGTCTCAAAAAAAAAAGAATAAACTTCTTCTAAGTCCTTCCATACCTAAAAATTCCGAATCATTTTAGTTCTCTTCTCAGTACACACTAACTTGCTCACTGTCCCAGGGCATAAAATGGGGGAGAGGAGTCTAGAATGATATAGGTTGGGAGCATATTATCAGGATCAGGACCTATAATACTATAGTCAGAAATCCATTAAATTCATTCGGCAATAAGGAATCCCAGAACGTTGTTCTAAGATTAAGTGACAACTACAGCTGACCTCAAGTCATCTGCAGGTGGTTAAAAACACTGACACGCAGGAGAAGTGGGAAAAGCTACCTTTTGGGAGGTTAGGCAAGAAAGATGATGGACTGCAGACGGAATGGAAGGAAGGGATAGGGAGGGAAGAGTTAGTCTTCCCTGAAGTTTCACAGAACCAAAGAATCACCGCTGAGTAATTTTACGCTAACAGGAAGATCCCTATTTTTATTTAATAACACTTTCAAGGAAACTTCTTTCACAAAATAAAAGTGACTGATTAAGACATTCTGAACAATGAGTCAAGTAACTTCAAGATTTGCTTAACAAGTAAAAGTGAAAAGGAACATACAGGCTTTGATTTTCTGTTGTTATTCTAAAAGCAGTATTCAACTTTCAGTGCCAATCGAAAGTTTTTGTCGAAAACGTTCAAATGTCTAAAAATTCTCGTAAAAATTATCTTCCAAATGGAATCGGTAACAAATTCTCTAAAACCAGGACTCTACATTCATGGTAACTCTGTCTACTGCTTAAATAATAAGTTGAAGGAAAACAGCCCACCCCGAAAGTCAATTCTAACATTTTAATTCTTATTTTAAAAAAATAGAGGGCCAGGTGTGGTGGCTCATGCCTGTAATCCTAGCACTTTGGGAGGCTGAGGCAGGTGGATCACCTGAGGTAAACAGTTTGAGACCAGCCTGACCAACATAGTGAGAAAACCTGTCTCTACTAAAAATACAAAACATTTAGCAAGGCATGGTAGCATGTGCCTGTAGTCCCAGCTACTCGGGAGGCTGAGGCAGGAGAATCACTTGAACCCGGGAGGTGGAGGTTGCAGTGAGCTGAGATGGTGCCACTGCACTCCAGCCAGGGCAACAGAGGGAGACTGTCTCAAAAATAAATAAAATAATAATAATAAATAAATAGAATTTATAAGACAACAAACATTCGCCAAAATATTTCAGTTACCAATACCTTCACATAGGAATGAGCTATTCATCGCTTCTAACAAACAAGAGTTTTAGAAAGTTGACTTAGGAGTAAGAAGTATCAATTTTTCATCGAACAACACTGAATACAGCATGCTAGGATTAGATTCTGTGCTAGATACTGACATTACTTATGAAACAACACCTATGTTGTTTCTAGGGGAGATATACATAAACCTAGGGGAGATATACATAAAGAGTGAAAATCCAGAAATTTAAGGCTGGGCCTGGTGGCTCACACCTGTAACCCCAGCACTGTGGGAAGCCAAGGCAGGTGGATCACCTGAGGTCAAGAGTTCAAGACCAGCCTGAGCAACATGATGAAACTCCATCTGTACGAAGAAAAAAAATTAGTGGGGCATGGTGGCATATGCCTGCAATCCCAGCTACTTGGGAGGCTGAGGCAGGAGAATCGATTGAACCCAGGAGGTGATAGTTGCAGTGAGCGGAGATGGTGCCACTACACTCCAGCCTGGGCAACAGAGCAAGACTCAGTCTCAAAAAAATAAATGAATAAATTTAATTTATAACTCTTTGGGAAAAATAATTAGACTTTGGGCATATGTTGTCAACATTCATTATCTGGGCACATTTAAATTTTTATAATGAAAGCAAATGTTTGCAAAAAGCATAGTGTGCAAATTCCCAGTGGGAACTGCTTTCCAAGAGTCAGCTTCATACTACTCACATAACTGTCAAACGGATCTACTGAACACTTTTTTTATGTGTCTGTAACATTTCTGGAGGGAGGAAATACTCCAATGAAAGAAAAATGACTAGATCTGTTTAAAATCAGTTCTGCAACTAACTTGCTCTGTAACATGGGCCAAGTCAAGTTCCTTCTTTCTTATTTTCTCCATTTGTTTTAGCGTCTGCCACCCATCTACCTACATGATATAGAAGTCAGAGTAATTAACACTTGTTTGATACACCGTATAAACAACTTGAAAGAAAAGTTTTATATAAACCCAATTCGAATTTTCACTCTACCAACAAAAGGCAAAAAATGTCTCTTCTCAACATCTCTGTCACTGACCAAAGTTATCATTTTTCATCAATTCGTTAACAAATATTTACTGAGCACCTATTACATGTGAAGGACTATTCTAAAAACTGGGGATATGAGAGTGAGCAAAACAAATTCATGGCCCTTACATGTAGAAAGAGAATACAACTAGTAAGAGAAAAACAAATTAATAAAAAATTGCATTGCACGTTGGATGGTGACGTTGGATGGTGATTTGGAGACCGATAAAGCACGGAAGGCAAATATCAAATAGTGGGAACGGCAATTAGGTCTTCAGAAACGAATTCCCTGAGAAGGCAACATCTGAGCAAAGACCTGGAAGGAGGTGAGTTAGAGTGCTTCGAGCAAAGGGAACAAAAGCAGGTGGAAAGGCCTTGAACTGAACTTACTGTACAGTAGTGGAGGAACAGCAAGGAAGTTTGTGAAGCTGGAATGGGCAGGGGAAAGGTGGTAAATGAAATCAGGGCGGGAAAAAGTTAAAAGCCTGTAGGCTGTTGCAGAGGCATAAACTTTTTTTTAATTCTGGGTGAGAGAGGAACTCTTTGGGAGGTATTAAGCAGAGAAATGACATCAGTGACTTTTTAAAGAAGGTTTAAGAATACTAAAAATCATGTGTCTGGAGTAAGGCAAAAATATTTCTAAGAATCTAAAATGAAAAATGTGAAAAACAACGAATGGGCCGTATTCGCCATCCCTAGCTGCTCAAAGGATGCTGACGACACGAACCAGCTGTGACAGATGAACACATTCAAAGCCAAACAAATTTCCGTAATGTTCACAGTCCTTGCCAGTGGGAAAAGCAGTGACTTTTCAACAAAATCACTCGGATGATCGCATGCACCTCGAAATCCCTCCATTTGACAGACCACGTGTTAACTTCTAAGAAAGTAGGTGGGGCCCGGGGTGTCATCTCATCTTAAAACATGCGGAAATCAAGAAAAGAAAATGCTCTCCCGTCAAGTCCACGGAGCTGCCCAGCTGCGCGCAGGCTTTCCAGATTCCCGGCTCCAGCACGAACTTCAGGGCGCCAACGTCCCACCCCGAGTCCTGACATCTGGGCTGCCTTCAATCGGCAAGCCAATCTCCCGCAGGTTACCAGCGGACTCCACCCCAGACGACAATCACAGTCAGACCCAACGTGTCTCCCCACCCTTGGACTACGGCTCCTTCCCACCGGCGGACCTGGGGGTGGGCCCAGACCCAGGCTGGGGGTGGGGGGGTTGGGGAGAAGGCGGGTCCCAGCGGAAACTCCCGGCCGCGCCTTCCCGAGCCACGCGCTCGGGCCGGGACCCAGCCGCCTGCGCCGCGGAGAAGTGGGAGGCCACGTTACCACGGCAATGCCTGGAGGGCCGAGGGGCGCGATCAGGGAGGGGCTTTAAGGGGGCCAGGGGTGCGTGTCGGAGGGAGGGGGAACCCGCAGGGAGCGGCTGACACAGGGCTGACTCCGATTTAGGGAGAGCGTGCCATTTCTCCATCAACAAATCTCGAGTCACTGCAGTCCCACGGCCTAGCTCGCGCCCACGGACCCACTCACAATTCCTTGATCAGCACCATCTTCCCGGAACCCCCACACGGCTACCGCTGCCACCACCGCCACCGCCGCCGCTACCGCCTCTCACAGCGCCTGCGCGGCCCCTCCTCCCTGCCCCCGTACCACCTCCGCGCCTGCGCACCTACACTCTTCCGCCGCGACCAGTCGCGTCAGCGCGCGAGGGGGCCTAGCTCCGCCCAGTTCCGTGCCCCACCCCGGGCACACGAGGCCTCTACTGCGGTTGCGCGGTCGGTTTAAGAGCGTGCGGCTTCCACTGCGGTTGCGTAAACTCAGCGCGCGCACTCCAGTCTGCTTACGAGGGCGCCTCCCTCCAGCTTTGGTCCCTTGGGGCGCCTGGGCAGCCTACGCTTTCCGGTGAGTTTTCCAGTTGGTTTCCTTGAAGCCGGTTTGCAGTGACCAGTTTTCAGCTCTCTCTCACTGCTCTGTGGAAGGGCCCACTTCCTTGACCGACACCTAAAAGACTCTTGACAGATTCTGGAGGCCGCCGACGCCGGCCTTTCTTCCCCTCTCCAGCCCTTGGCAGCTTAGGTTCCGCGGGAGAACGTTCACTTGCTTCGCGGTCTCGTGGAGGTCCACCGCGGCGGAGAATCCTGAACCTCACCTGTGACTCGGCAGGATGAGCGGACAGCACTCCCGACGAAGGCCCTCTGGGGGAAATGAGGCGCTTGGCCTCCAGACCCGGGAAAGGAGGCTGATGCTGGGAATACGTTCTCAAAGTTGCAGCGAATCCACCTAGGGCCTCAAAGCTGCAGCCCAGCGGTGGTCGCTGGCTTGCTCTGTGCCAGACACGGTTCTAGGCAGTGGGGATGCATTTAGAAGCAGATACAGTCCCTGTTTTCAAGAAGTTCACAGTCTAGAGGAGATAACTCACTTGGAAAGAAGTCAGGGAGAATTTGGGATGGTGGGGGAAGTTCTGTGCCATGAATACAGTGGAGTACTGGGGGAGGCAGATGACTCTCGGCCAGGGCTGCCTTAGGAGGTGGTGTTTGAGCCTGGCCTGTTAGGATGTGAGAGGGGCATGCTAGTTAGAGGGAAATAGGGCCCGAGGATGGGATGAACTTAGGGTATTGAAGGATCAGTCAGGCGCCAGATGTGGCCAGAACATTTTAAGTGAGGGGGGAAAATCAGCAGGGACCAACTAGATCACTAGGCCATTGTAAGGAGTTTGTATTCTAAGAACCATGAGTACCTGTTGAAAGGCTATTAAGATGATCAAAATATCATGAAAACATTTCTGTATAAACGTCAGGTGTATCTGATAATGGAATACATCTGTGGAGTTAGGGCTGCCTCACAAAAAGTAATGGAAAAGTGACTTGCGATTCAGTGACTCCCAGGAACTGCCTTAGGAGAAAGTTTCTGGAGTCTCAAAACTCCCACAAACTTTCTTCTAAGCCAGTCCCTGGGAGTCACCGAGTTTTTGTTATGTGTGAATTGTGTTAGTTATTGTGAGGGCAGGGATTTAAGGAAATGCATGCCCTTTCTTGCAAGAGTTGAGATGCTGAGGATCTGCTTTGTTGATTAGACATTGGATTTTATGCCAAGTACTGTGCTAAGTAATGGAGATAATTTATCTCATTTCACCCTTAGAACAACATTATGAGACGTGCTTTAGCATGCTTTACAAGGGGAATAAAATGAGATTCAGGGAGCCATGTTAAGTGACTTGTACTAGCTTGTTTGCAGAACCAGGTTTTCAAATCCAGATTTTAAAATCCATTCATTACACTAATAATCCTAGAAGAAAGTTAAGTTGGGGCGTGCAGACCATCTTTATGAAAAATAATTGTTCTCAATTATGGAAAGAAGACTAAATCTGGAAGATATTTAGGGAAATTAAGGGGTTGAATACTGTAAATCTGTGTGCTTAGAGTTAGATGGTGTTCTTTAACATCTGAGGAGACAGTATTAATTGCCAATTTTGGCTGGGTGAGGTGGCTTACACCTGTAATCCCAGTACTTTGGGAGGCTGAGGCGAGCTGATCACTTGAGGTCAGGAGTTCAAGACCAACCTGACCAACATGGTGAAACTTCGTCTCTACTAAAAATACAAAAATTAACTGGGCGTAGTGGCACATGCCTGTAATCCCAGCTACTCGGGAGGCTGAGGCAGGAGAATCGTTTGAACCTGGGAGGCAGAGGTTGCAGTGAGCCAAGATCATGCCACTGCACTTCAGCCTAAGCAACAAGAGCGATACTCCATCTCAAAAAAAAAAAGCTAAATTTATATGAGGAGTCATTTTATGTTCTAATCTCTCCCCACATGTTATGCTTGTTGAAAATGGTTGACATGCTTTATCACTAAGAAAAATCAGGACATTTTACATCATTTCTCTAATTTTCGAAGCCTCCTGCAAGTGTTCACTAGTTCTTTTGTCTGCATAACACAATTCCTGCTCATAAATAGTAGCCAGATGTTTGTGAAATAAATGAGGCATTATGCTAGATGGAGCATGCTTCCACACCGAGTATACAGTATAGACAGTGCCTCCCTTTAATTGTTAAAAAAAGTTATATGATGATACTCTTCAAGTATAGTAAGTCAGACTTTATTCAGGATCTTTGAGATAAGTATAGGGACCACTGTAATGGGATTTTGTAGTTGGGGAAAGAGACTGGGCTCAACCCTGAACACAGTATGGGCAAGTGAGAATTTATAGGCAAAGAGCTATAAGTGGGTAGGGCAGTCAGTGGGTGGAAAATTAAGAGGATACATCAGGGATGAGGGAGATTCTGGCTAAAGCAACTTAACATAATTCTTGCTGAAGACGTGATCAGACTGGTGGAGGATGAAGAACAAGGATTAGGGAGGTTCTTGTGAAAACTAGATTTTACAGCTGTTGCACAGATAAGCCTAAGCTTGACTAAAGTTTGGTCAGGCAGTGTATCTGTCACAATCAAAACATTCATATTAAAAGACTCAATTGAGAAACAAGGATAGATTGAGAAAATAACCGGTTTAGATGTATTTGTTGACGGAAAGATTAGCTAGGTCACTGGAAAACATGAAATCTGTATATCAAAATAATCCTACATTACATCTACTTAAAGGATAAAAATGGCAGAATGAAAGAATTATGAGTGGGACTAGAGAATGGGAAAGACATGAACCAACACCTCAAATGAGAAAGAAGGATGTATAGCTAAGACAAATACACGTGAAAAAAATAGACTAATGGATTAACGTCTCTGTTGTGTGACATTATCTGTGACAGCTGAAGATGTTGCAAATATGTGTATAAAGTAGACTAGAACTTTAGCCAGTAATCGCCTATAGATACAAAAATCCAACCTTTTTTTTTGTAGTGTGATGTTCCTTGTTCTAACTTCTCTCAAAGGTAACCTTTACACAGATGTTCAATTAAACTAATTCTACCAATGTCATGTCTACCAATCTCATTACTTCCCTTTTAGAGCAAAGAGCTCATTACAGTAAGAATGACGGTAAATTTTACCAAGGCAAACAAAGATTTCGGAACATGGGCAGTGTATATGCACTGGTTGATAGCTCAACTCTGATCACTTAAATATTTTAATTTAGCCCCTAAAATAGCCTTTCTCAACCTGTAATCTGAAGAAAGGCCTGTAGGTGGGACTCCCAGGGAATTTGTGAACTACTAAAATTATATACATAATTTCATGTCTGTGTACAATTTTTTTTTTTTTTTTTTTTTTTGAGACAGTTTCTCTCTTATTGCCCAGCAGGAGTGCAGTGGCGCCATCTCGGGCTCACCGCAACCTCCACCTCCCGGGTTCAATCGATTCTCCTGCTTCAGCTCCTGAGTAGCTGAGATTACAGGCACCTGCCACCACACCCAGTTAGTATTATTTTGTATAGTAGAGACAGGATTTTACCATGTTGGTCAGGCTGGCCTCAGGTGATACACCCCCCTCAGCCTCCCAAAGTGTTGGGATTACAGGCACGAGCCACCTCACCCAGCCCATGTGTACGTTTATCTAGGGGAGAGGTTTGTAGCTTTCATTTGCCTTGCTTTCTCTGCATTTTGCCTTTCCATTTCTTTTTATCTTCTGCCCATTCCAGAATGATCTTGATTGAGGATGTTTGTAGGAAAACTAGAAATATTCCCAAGAATGCTTTAATTTTGTTAAATATCAGGGCATAGGTCATAATATTTTATCACTCTGGGATAGACAGGGTTAGGCATTGGAGTAGAAAGACCTTCTTAGCCTGAATCCTGTCTCTGCCACTTACTGTTCTGAACCTCTTAGAGATTCAGTTGACACTAAAACTCAATTTTACACATCTGAAAAAAGAAGACTATTAGTATCTGCAATAGATTTAAGAACTAAAAAATATGAAGTATATGAAGCACCTGTGTTATGTACTTTACTGGATATGTAAGTGTTCAGTGAATGGGAGCCATTTAAAAGCTTCCAGGCGGGGCACGGTGGCTCACGCCTGTAATCCCAGCACTTTGGCAGGCCGAGGCGGGTGGATCACGAGGTCAAGAGATCGAGACCATCCTGGTCAACATGGCGAAACCCCGTCTCTACTAAAAATACAAAAAATTAGCTGGGCTTGGTGGCGTGTGCCTGTAATCCCAGCTACTCAGGAGGCTGAGGCAGGAGAATTGCCTGATCCCAGGAGGCGGAGGTTGCGGTGAGCTGAGATCGCGCCATTGCACTCCAGCCTGGGTAACAAGAGCGAAACTCCGCCTCAAAAAAAAAAAAAAGCTTCCGAAAAGGAACAGGAATTTAAGGTATCCCTGGAGTAACCACTATGTTTAATCATTATTTGTTATTCTGATATATGCATAAGAATGGCATGTATACATATTGGCCATAATTACCTTTTCTCTGTTGTGTGTAATACAGATTCTTGTTCTGTGCCATCACCAACATTTCATATTGTCAGAATTTTTATTTTTTGTCAGTTTATTGGTTTTAAAACTCTGTCTTGTGTTCACTTTGCATTTCTTGCAGGATAAGGCTGTTTTTATGTTTTTTGGTCATAGTCAGATCCTTTCTTCCTTTTTCCTATTAGTCGTGTTTTTTTCTTTTTGATTTGTAGAATATATTAGGTTGGTGCAAAAGTAATTTTGGTTTTTGTATCACTGAAATTTGTCATTTGATACTGGAATACCTTCTTAAATAAATATGCTTATGTTATACATCATGTTAATGCGCATTTCTCGCTTTGCTTTTTTTTTGCTAATGACTTATTACTTGCTGTTTATATTTATTTTAGAATATGGAAATGATATTAGACAAAAAGCAACTTCAAGCGATTTTCTTACTTGAGTTCAAAATGGGTCATAAAGTAGCAGAGACAACTCGAAACAGCGGCGCATTTGGCCCAGAAACTACTAATGAACGTACAGGGCAGTGGTGATTCAAGAAGTTTTGCAAAGGAGATGAGAGCCTTGAATATGAGGAACACAGAGGCGGCCAGCCTTTGGAAGTTGACAGTGACTAATTGAGAGCAGTCTTTGAAGCTGATCCTCTTAGAACTAGGAAGTTGCCTGAGAAACCAAAGTCAACCATTCTATGCTTGGCATTTGAGGAGAATTCGAAAGATGAGAAACAGCAACAAACCATTTCTCAATCAGATTGCGACGTGCAACCAAAAGTGGATTTTATATGACAGGCAGTGATGACCAGCTAAGTGGTTGGACTGAGAAGCTCCAAAGCAAAAGGTTATGATCACTCATTGGTGATACGTTGCTGGTCTGATCCACTACAGCTTTCTGAATCCTGGTGAAACCATTACATAAGAGAAGTACACTCAGCAAATCTGTGAGGTTTGCCGAAACCTGCAACACCTGCAGCTGGCAATTGGTCCACAGAAAGGGCCCAATTCTTTGAGTGACACCCAGGCTGGAGTGCAGTTTCTCAGTTTCAGCTCACTGCAACCTCCACCTCCCAGGTTCAAGCAGTTCTCCTACCTCACCCTCCCGAATAGATCGGATTACAAGCACCTGCCACCACACCTTGCTAATTTTTGTATTTTTAGTAGAGACAGGGTTTTACCATATTGGCCAGGCTGGTCTCAACCTCCTGACCTCAAGTGATCCACCCACCTGAGCCTCCCAAAGTGCTGGGATTACAGGCGTGAGCCACCGCACCTGGCAGGTCCCAATTCTCCATGACAGTGCCCAACTGCAGGTTGCACAACCAGTGCTTCAGGAGTTGAAGGAATTGGTCTATGAGGTTTTGCCTCCTCTACCAGATTGACCTGACTTCTTGCCAACCAACTACCACTTCTTAAAGCATCTTGATGGTTTTTTGTGGGTGAAATACTTCCACACCAGCAGGATGCAGAAAATGCTTTCCAAGAGTTTGTTGAATCCTGAAGCACGGATTTTTATGCTGCAGAAATAAATTTATTTTTCCGCAAAAATGTGTTGATTGTAATGGCTCCTGTTTTGATTAATCAAGATGTGTTTGGCCTAGTTATAATAATTTAAAATTAATGGTCTGAGAACACAATTACTTTTGTACCACCACCAACAGACACACCCCCACACATTCCGGATTTGAATTTCGCGTTGATTACCTGCACTTGGAATATTTTCTTTACATCTGTGGATTGTTCTGTCGCTTTTTTTTTTTTTTTTTTTTTTAAATAAATGGGTTTCTGAACCTCTGCTGTATTGACATTTTGGGTCAGATTATTCTTTGTGTAGAGGCTGTTCTATGCCTTGTAAAATGTTTAGCATCCTCTCTGGCCTCTGTTGGCTAGGTACCAGTAGTACCCGTACAATCATGACAGTTGGGAATGTTTTCAGACATTGCCCAGTTTCCCCTGGTTGGGGAACGGTACACAATTGCCCTTAGTTGAGAACCACTCGTTGTAGTGACTTTGTTGTGCAGTTACCCTACATTTATTTGTTTTCTTGTATGCCAGACAAGCCTTAAGTGTTTCATAAGAACTAATCCTAACTCATTTACTCATCACATGTTGTAGATATTACTGTTCCTATTTTAAAGAGGAGAAATCTTATGTCCTCTAATGTGCAGAAGATGTTAACTTTACCAGGCTATAACTGAAATATAAAATGCACCTATTTTAAGTGTCCGGTTGTAGAGTTTTCTCAAAGGTATACTGAGACTTCTCTAGAGTTTCATATTATTTATCACATAGTACTTTTTCTTACCTTCTTTGAGCATAATGGTTCTGAGATTTATAAATGTGTATCATTCAGTCCTTTTCATTGCTCAGTGGCATTCCTTTGTGTGGACATAACCAGAAATTGTTGATCCATTTACTTATTGATGAATTTTTTTGTTCTGTAGTTTTTGATCATGATAAATTTGCTATGACTAGATGTACATAAGTCTTTGCAGATACATGTTTTCATTTCTCTTGGATTATCACGTAAGTGTATGTTTAACTCTGGGAGAAATGGCCAAACAACGTACAAAGTGGTAGTACCATTTTACATTCCCAGCAGCAATATAAGAGAATCCAGGCCGGGCACGGTGGCTCAAGCCTGTAATCCCAGCACTTTGGGAGGCCGAGGCAGGGGGATCACGAGGTCAAGAGATCGAGACCATCCTGGTCAACATGGTGAAACCCCGTCTCTGCTAAAAATACAAAAAATTAGCTGGGCATGGTGGCACGTGCCTGTAATCCCAGCTACTCAGGAGGCTGAGGCAGGAGAATTGCCTGAACCCAGGAGGCGGAGGTTGCGGTGAGCCGAGATCGCACCATTGCAGTCCAGCCTGGGTAACGAGTGAGACTCTGTCTCAAAAAAAAAAAAAAAAAAAAATCCAGTTACTCCACATCCACAAACGTGTTTTAGCCACTCTAGTAGAAATGTGGTAGCGCATTGTAGTAAACTTGCAGTTCTCTGAAAACTGATGATGTTGAGCACTTTTTCATGTGCTCATTGGTCATTTGTACATCTTTTGTCAAGTGACCGTTCAACTCTTGACCATTTTCAAATTGTTCTTTTTCTGTTTTTGAGTTGGAAGAGTTACTAGAATATCCATAAGTCCTTTTCTCAGATGTTTGTGTTATGAGTACTTTCTCCCAGTCAGCTGCTTGCCTTTTCATTTTAGTGGTATATTTCAAACAGCAGAAATTTTGAAGTCTAGTTTTTCATTTATGGTTCATGTTTTTGTGTTCTCCCTGAGAAATCTTTGCCTGACCCAGAGGCACAAAGATTTTTATTTTACTATGTTTTTTTCCAGAAGGTTTAAAGTTTTGGCTCTCACATTCAGGTCTGTGAGTAACTTCAGATAAGTTTTGGCGTATATATGAGATAAAAAGTTCAATTTTTTTTTTGCATATGTATATCCAGTTGTAGCCCTGGTTATTAAAAAGACATTTCCTTTACTCATTTGTTAAAAGTCGGCTGACTATATGTATGCGGGTCTGTTTCGGGAAGGTGTTCTATTCCGATCGTCAATATGTTTATGTAATACCACACTGCTTTGATTACCATAGCTATGTAGGAAGTCTTGAAATCAAGTGGTTTATTTCCTCTAGTTTCTACATTTTCTTTCTTTCTTTTCTTTTTTTTGGTTTCCTAGTTTATAAAAATGTTATGTGTTTCTTTTTTTATCGTATTTTAGGTTTTTTACATTTTCAAAATTGTTTTGGCACTCCTGAGATTTGATTTCATTCATTTGTTTAAAAAAGCCTGGTGGAATTTTTATGGGACTTTCAATCTATAGAACAATCAGGAAAAACTGACATCTTAACAATATTGAATCTTTATAAATGATGTATCTCTTCATTTATTTAGATCTTCAGTGTTTCTTGGCTCTCAGCAGCATTTTGTAGCTTACAGGTTTTGCAAATATTTTTCTTTATTAAGTATTGTGTGTGTGTGTTTTAAAACAATTGTTATTTTTAATTTTTCAAGTATTGATAATATATATAGACTTGATTCCTGTTTATTCTCCTTGCTGGACTCATAGGAGTGTTTTGTGTATTTTATAAGGTTTTCTATGTAACAGTCTCTGAATAAAGACAGTTTCACGTTTTTTTGCAATCTTTATAATTTTAATTTTTCCTTTGGCAATGGTTAACACTAATACTGTTGATATAAGTTGTGAAATAAGTTTATTGATCTTATTTCCCTCCAGCCCATGTGTAGAAAGTTTATTAATTGTATAGATCTTTTTACAACATTCTTTGATTTTTCTGTTTTCTATTTAATTTTTACCTTTTATTACTTACCTCTGCCAAGTTTTAGTTTAATTTTTTCTATTCTGAGCTTTAAGGTGAAAGCCCATATCATTGCTTTTAGACTTTCTTTTCAAATATAAGCATTTAAAGCTTTATCTCTAAGTTCTGGTTTAGCTGCATTCGTATTTGAATGTTTTTTGTTGTCATTCAAAGTATTTTCTAACTTCTTTTTAACTGTGGACTATTTAGAAGTATATTAATTACCAAGTATTTCAGTACTCTCCACATTTTTGTTTTAATTTTCAATTTAATTTGGTTACAGTCCAAGAATATACTCGATGAGCTTAATCATTTCAAATGTATTGACACTTATAGCCTAGGTTTTTGTTTTTACTTTGCGTATTTTGAGGTTTCGTTAGTAGATGCCTACACCTTTAAACTTTTATGTCTTCTTGATGAGTTATCCTCACAATAATTGTGAAATGCCTCTCTTTATCCTTGATAACATTCCTTGTTCTGAAGCCTACTTAGCCAGATAGTAATGTAGACTTTCAGCTTTCTTATGATTTGTGTTTGCATAGTCGGTATCTTGTTATTCCTTTTAACCTTTTTGTCATTGTAGTAATTTGTACACAGCATATAATTGGGTCTTGCTTTTTTTTTTTTTTGGAGACGGAGTCTCACACTGTTCCCCAGGCTGGAGTGCAATGGTGGGATCTCGGCTCACTGCAACCTCTGCTTCCCGGGTTCAAGTGATTCCCCTGCCTCAGCCGCCCAAGTAACTGGGATTACAGGAGTCCACCCCAATACCCGGCTAATTTTTTGTATTTTGAGTAGAGACGGGGGTTTCACTGTTTTATCCACATTGGTCTCAAACTCCTGACCTTGTGGTCCACCTGCCTCGGCCTCCCAAAGTGCTGGGATTACAGGTGTGAGCCACCACACCTGGCCTGTGTCTTGCTTTTTAATCCCGTCTGATACTCTCTACCTTTTAAGTGGAATGTTAGGTCATTTATATTTAATACAGTTATAAAATGGTTGAGTTAAACACAAGTTTTTTTTTTTTTTTTTATGTCTACTGTAGAATTTGTAAGGTGTATCTGTAACTTATCACAGTCTGCCATTAACCCTTTTCTTAGAGAAAAAAAGTATGGCCGGGTGTGGTGGCTCATGGCTGTAATCCAGCACCTTGGGGTCAGAGGCAGGCAGACCACAAGGTCAGGATATTGAGACTAGCCTGGCCAATATGGTGAAACCCCATCTCTACTAAAAATACAAAAATTAGCCAGGCGTGATGGTGGGCACCTGTAATCCCAGTTACTTGGGCGGCTGAGGCAGGGGAATCACTTGAACCCGGGAAGCAGAGGTTGCAGTGAGCCGAGATCCCACCATTGCACTCCAGCCTGGGGAACAGAGAAAAACTCCGTCTTGGGAAAAAAATGTGCAACTCTTTTCCAGCACCCATTTAATTTTACATACACATGCTCTTTGCGGCTGAAGCAAATCTAACTGATTTCCAATGTGAAAATAAAATATAAAAACTGTTCTTGGAGTTATTTCTAAATAGAACTAACATTAGAATTGTCCGAATTATCAGAATCCTCTATTTCAGAAAAATTGGGTTCATCAAATTTTCAGCCAATTTTCAATTGTTCAAGAACATCATTCATAAGACTGCTACGTATTCTAGGATTTGACATTTTCAGTGATTGAGAATTACTATACTTTATAATAAGAAATACCACTGCTAAAAACAGAATGCTATAAATAGAATGATGTCTTTTGTTTCCAGAATCAATATACTAGAGCAATGCAACACTAATTATAAAGGTGAGATATTTTGTGGCAAAGGTATCTCAGGGTAAACTGTAGCTGCAAGTACTGCCAGCAAGTATTTTTGGAGCAAATGGAAAAAGGGTTAAATGGAATTAAATGGTTTCACATAAAATGTAAGAAACGAGAGTATAGTTTCATCTCTCCTCTTGTCTTTACATCATTATTTTGCTTTAAAATAGTCAATTGTCTTCCGGGTGTAATCCCAGCTCACGCCTGTAATCCCAGCACTTTAGGAGGCTGAGGTGGGTGGATCATTTGAGGTCAGGAGTTTGAGACCACCCTGGCCAACAAGGTGAAACCCTGTCTCTACTAAAAATACAAAAATTAGCCAGACATAGTGGTACATGCCTGTAATCTCAGCTCCTGGGGAGGCTGAGGCAGAAGAATTGCTTAAATCCAGGAGGCAGAGTTTGCAGTGAGCCAGGATCCCACCATTGTACTCCAGCCTGGGCCAAGAAGCGAGACTCCATCACTAAAAAAAAAAAAAAACAAAAAAAAAACATTTATCAACCAGACACAATTTCTCATGCCTATAATCCCAGCAATTTATGAGGCTGAGGTGGGAGGATCACTCGAGCTCAGGAGTTTGAGACCAGCCTGGGCAATATAGCAAGACCCTGTCTCTCAAAAAAAATTTTTTTTTTAATGAGTTAAAACTGAGAAAATAGTTTTTTCTATTATCTTGCTAACATTTGTTCTGTATTTACTTTCTCCTGGGTAATCTAAGTGCTTTGCATGATTTAATACATTTAATTTTGTAAGCAAACACATGTTGTAGGTACTACTATATATTTTAAGTAAAGTGAGAGACAAGTAATTAACCTACATTTAATAAACTAACCAGAATATGAACCCAGCGGGTCTGGTACCAAAGCCTGAGTTTTTAACCACTTTGTTATACTGCCTTCCTAAATTGGCTATGACCTCCAGTATAATTTCAAGTAGAAGGTATAAAAGTATGCTTTTTTTTTTTTTTTTTTTTTTTTAAAGAGACAGTCTCCCCATTTCACCTAGGCTAGAGAGCAGTGGTGTCTTGGTAGCTCATTGCAGTCTCAAATTTTGGGGCTCAAGGGTTCCTCCCACTTCATCCTCCTGAGTAGCAGGGACTACAGGCATATACCACCATACCTGGATAATTTTAAAACATATATATATATATATATATATATATATATGTTGTCTTACTGTGTTGCCCAGGTTGGTCTCAAACTCCTGACCTCAAATGATCCTCCCTCCTTGGCCTCCCAGAGGGATTATAGGTGTAAGCCCCTATGCTGGACTGAACTGGTGTACTTGACCTTGACTTTAAGTGCTTTCAAAATATAAGTATGTTTGCTGCACTTTTTTGCTAACTGCCCTTTATTAGATAAGACTGTTTTCTTCCTAGTTTGAGTTTTGTCATTGTTTAGTATTGAATTTTGTGAAGTCCTTTTTCTGTGTTGAAGTAATCATGTTCCCTTTGTTCTGTTAGTGTGATCTGTTCCATAACTAGATTTTCTGATGTTGAGCCATCCTTGCATTTTCAGAATAAACCTTAGCCAATTGTCATTTATATTATTTTTTATTTTCCATTTGTCAGCTGCGATGTTAAGATAGGTTCACCCAGTAGTTGAGGAAATTAAAATTATGAAGATGAGAGAGATTTATGAATAGTACTGATTTTAATTTCAAATAACAAATGAATGGCTTATTAGCTGGCTTAAAATGAAGATGGCCTATGTAAGATACATCATTATTTTTACTTGAGAGATCTTAAAGCACCTAATTATTTTTAAATAGATAACACAATCACATTTCATAATTCAATTGTACAAAAGAGTGTATACAGTGATACCCCTCTTTCATTCCTGTCTTGACACCTCCAGGAACTAATGTTATCAGTTTTTTTTGTCCTGGAGATTTTGCATATTAAGCAAATATATTTATTTTCTTTGCCCCTCTTTTAGAAAAAAAAAAACAAAACAAAACGTAAATTGCAGCATGTATGACATTCTGCATCCTGCAGTTGTCTTGAGGAATGTATGAGACAAGATTCACTCAGAGAAGTGGAGCCGCTACGTGTGTTATGACATAAATGGCATTTATCAGTGAACTGGCCTTTACTCAATTGTAGGAGTTGCTGAAGAAATGAAGGTCCAGAAGGGAGCAATGGAGAATGAGAGGAGTCACTAACCAGGCTTTCTGAAAGATTGGCTTGGTGGACAAGTCAGAGCTTGTTACGGAAACCTGGAAAATAGGCACATCCAGCTGCTGAGGTGAGATTGCAGAAAGTATTCTAAGGTAAACTCTTGCCTCTGTGTAGTTAACTGGATTTGATGGCCTGGGACTGCTGATAGTCCAATGGGGTATCAGCAGAAAGATACCACAAGAGCAGGCTGTGAAATGGAGGAGAGTGGGGACAACCTAAAGCCTTTCACATACCTTTATGAGTGTTCATCACTATATGAATCCTGAAATCTTCATTGAGTCATGGCTACTACTTTGGTTCTACCTGCTAAAATGTTGTGCAAATTCCTCTTGGCCAAATCTTATTCAGAGCCATACAAGGGAAAGGATTCTGGAAAACAGTTCCAAGCTTAACCTTATTAACCCAGCGCAGTTCAGCACCAAGAACACTCCATAGTGATGTGTAAAGGCAGCTTTATCCCCTTGCCCTTTTTTTATTATGGTAAAATATACATAACATAAAACTCACCATTTTAGCCATTTTTAAGTGTACAATTCAGTGGTTTTAAATACATTCATCATATTATGCAACTATTACCATCCATCTCCAGAATTCTTTTCATCTTGTAAAACAAATTCTGTGCCCATTAACAATAATTCCTCATTATAAGTGGGATTGTGCAGCATTTTTTTCTTGTGACTCGAGTATTTCACTTGTCCTCAAGGGTCATCCATTTTGTAGAGTTACGCAGAATATCTTTGTAAGGTTGAGTACGATTCCGTTGTATGAATATACCACATTTTGCTTATCTACTGACGTGTGGATGGACACTTAGCCTGCTTCCACATATCACCTATTATTAATAATGCTATTTATAAACAGGGGTAGAAAAATATCTCTCTCAGACCCTGATTTCAATTTTGGGGTCTATATTGGAAGGAGAATTGCTGGATCATAAGGTAATTCTGTTTTTAAATTTGAGGAATTGCCATACTGTTTTCCCCAGTGGCTGTTACAATTTTACATTCCCATCAGTATAGTGGTGGGGGTATGGATTACTCTGCATCCTTGCCAACACTTATTTCTGATTTTTTCTTAGTAGCCATCCTAATCGTTGTGAGGTAGCATCTCCCATAGTTTTAATTTGCATTTCTGAAATGATTAGTGATGTTGAGCATCTTTTCATGAGCTTTTTGGCTATTTGCATATCTTTGAAGAGATATGCATTCAATATCTTTGCCCATTTTTAGTCAAGTTTTTTTTTTAATTGTTCTTTATTCTGGATGTTGTTCTCTTATCAGGTATGTTATTTGTGAATATTTTCTCCGATTCTATTGCATTTTTACTCTATTGTGATTTCTAAAGTTTATGAAATCCAGTGTGTTTCTTTTTGTTTTGTTACTGGTGCCTTTGGTGTTATATCCAAGAAATTATTGCCAAGTCCAGTGTCATCATACATGTAGGCATTTATCCAATTCAGGTTTTGTTTGTTTGGTGACATTTCTGATCATTTCTTAATTTATTGGCTGAAATATTTCTACAAAGAGAAGCTGGTCGTTTACTTGTGCAATTTATGTAAGAAAGGCAGAATAAACCCTTGATTTTTGTCTCATTACTTATCAGTTTTCAAAATGAAAATGTTTCCTATTATACTCAAAAGGTGATCAATTACTATTTCTTAACGTGGACTTAAACACATTGGAAGTACTGATGTCTATTTCACTTATTGCTCAGAAGGTTCCATCTTTGGCCAGTTGAATCCCTTTATTGTCTCTTGAATCCTGTTGACGTGTTCCCGGTAAGTAGTCTTTGACAGCTTCATTGGCGTAACAAGATTTAGCACAAAAGCTTATCTCATATATTTTCTGCTGTTCCAGACTGGAATCAGCCATTTCACCAAGAAACTTAGGTTTCTTTTACCGGCAAATAGTACATCAAGAGTACAGTCTTGTGTAAGGGATGTCATGGCTTCTGGGTTTGTTACAGTTCTCATCCACAAAATTCTAGGAATGTCCAGCTTCATTATTTTCCATAATTTAAAGGAGCAGAGCTTTTGTTGCTAAATTATTTATTTGTTGCTTTGAAATATACTAACTTGAAATCAAAGAATTTTTAAAGTTGTAAAGGGTATCTGAAATATCCACCTTAGGTTTCCCAAACTTGGAAGAGCAGTGCCACTTAGAATAGCCTGAGGAATCTTAGCAAGCTAGAGTGAAGGCAGGGAGATCAGTTATAATGTTTTACATGCATGCATTTGTGATTTCATTCTTTCATTCAGGCAACATTTTTTAGGCCATTTTAGTAGCTAGGGTGAAAAAATTTTGTGCACTTAAATGTAAAGATAATGCGTAAGTATATAGAATACATAAATACGACAGGAGCACTTAATGTATTATTATCTGAATACAGTTGACCCTTGAGCAACATGGATTTGAACCGTGCAGATCCACTTATACATGGATTTTTTTTAATAAATATATTGGGAAAATTTTTGGAGATTCACAATGATTTTTAAAAACTTGCAGACAAACTGCGTAGCCT